TTAAGTCAGAGTTGTTGTCATTTTATCCGAATGCAACTGTTAGATAGTGAGTTGGTTTTACAGCTAAACTACATTCAGATTTCCGTGCTTCAGTGTTCCTTATTTCCTAAGAGAGATCCACAGTATTTGCGTAAATCACAAAGTTAAAAACAGAATATATGAAAATATACATATTTCAACTCTGCTACACTGCATTTCACTCAGTACGACAGGTGTTAGAAAGCATTAGTGCACACTATTCAAGTAATTTCAGGTATGATGAGACAACTACATGTAGCTCCTTCCAGGATTACAAAACGTACAAATCATTTCTACACAACTATCACGAAGGGAATGACAGGAATGGGAGAATTATTAGTTATAAATGTTCTTAATTTTATAATGGTGCATCTCAGAAGCTGACCAGGTAACTCCTCGGCAGCGACATCTGCGTCTAAACGAACCGTATTCGTTTCAGAGTCGTTTATAGTGCAGCCAAGGGCTGATCTCATGTTTATAAATACAGATCTCAAGAAAAACGGTTAGTAGCTCTAAAATCCAGCATCAGTCCTTCGTACCAACAGACTGCAGGAGTCCAGCATTGTGCGAGTGCAGCGGTAGCACTTATATTTCTACCATAATCAGTTACTTAAAAAGATAGATGTGCTATATTTCTCCTCTACATTGACCCATTCATGTCCACTAAATTTAGTCTAGTAAGGAAAAATGTCTCAGAATTTGTTCTGACGGCTCCAAACACTGGACGAAAATGTAACACCTTTGGGCTTTTTGTTATGATTTGGTCATTTTTCTGATTTTATAAAGAATCAGATTTTGATTTGTTTTGGAAAATAAAGCCAATAAAATGTGTTTCATATGTTCTTCTGTAATAATACAGCATATATACTACCAGTCAAAAGTTTGGACACTCCCAGAAGGGGTTTTCTATATTTTTTTAAGCCATTTTACACATATAATAATGATAATAATGGCATCAAATTAGTGCTGGGCGATATGACCACAAATCAATTTCACGATTAACTGAATATTTTACCTCGATTACGATTAATGAACGATTATTTTGACTTTGTTTTTTTGCCCTCATAGTTGTACTGTAAATATGCTCCGCATATCAATGTAAACCGTCTCAACAGCCAGATCGGAATTCACGCGGCTTTTACGTCAATCCAACTCGACGTTCGCCATAATTTCGCGCTGCTGAGACCTTAAACATCTGGGCTAATGTTTCTGTACAAATTAGAAGAGACGTATCCAAAACCCTCTGTGTTCAGACATTTCAAAAGAAATGTGGCCCCCAAAAAAAATAAATAAATAAAAAAATAATATAAATATCGGATTTGTTGAGAAAATCAGATCTGGGCCACTTTTACCTGCTGTGAGAGTGTAGCCTTAGCTCCCCTGTCGCAGACAAAAAATTGGAAATAACTGATTAGAGGTATCCAGTTAGAGGTTCTGAATGTCGGTTCTGATTACTTTTCGATTAATCGCCCAGCCCTACATCAAATATACAAAACAGTTCATATAGAATTGCTCCAGTATTCAGAAATACTGGTCTTCTACTAAACAGGAGTGTTTAAAACCTACTCACAACACAACTGACGCTGAAATGCACTGACGCATTAACAGACATTCAACTAACTTTTAATGAAAAACACAGTAATTAGCATGATATAGTGATTATATAACCCATGGATAGGAATCCATGTAAATATTTATACTGGTCTTCGAAAACAACTATGAAACTTTTAGTATGAGCCTTCAAAATAGCTGAGAAAACTGGAAAACATAGAATCAAGTGCATCCAAACTACTGACTTAGTATATGTGTACTACAACCTTCTGAGTTCATTCATATCAATTAATTTATTGTGTATCTATTTTTTAGATGATTTATCACACCCAGTTTGTTTTTTGGGCCAGGATTTAATGGCTGTGGACAAGAACGGGTCAAAATCGTTTAATATAAAACTGTAAAATACTCTTAAACAAATGTAATTTTAGACACTGTTCTTTTGGCAAACATAAATAGTTTTTCAAAATATGTAAATTTCTCTATTTCTGCTTCTAAAAGGCATGAGATGCACAGAGAACGCAAATGAAGTCAAATGAAGGCAGACAGAAGTCTTATGCCCAGCGTGTGGTCATGCATAAGACAGTTCGTTGGAGATGAATATCAAGTTTAAGATGTTTCATCAACCCTACACAACACGCTAAAATAAACCAGAGAGAGAGGCATGAACAGTATGTATGGCGCAGAATCCAACACACCACGAGTGCTTTTTCAGACTGTGGGAAAACAAGGCTTACATTCACAATCACACGAGCAGAGACCTTCACATCACAAAGACTCCACCAGGACACGACACACTCAATGGCTTTGACTGAGGTCTATAGTTCAATAAACCTCGTAGGTAAGTGTGAAATTAAGAAAAAGAAAAACAACATTCAGTCTAGTTTGGCTGATTAAAATACAATATAAATGTTGACAACTACAGTCAGAAAACATCCAGCAGGTTTCAGTTCTTTTTCAATGATCTTGTGTTTCCGCTAAACATCACCTCAGTAAACACTACAGCCTGGAATTACATCCAACACTGAACAGTGAATCTCAGAACCTTCAAGACACAGTCCAGCGTTTTTCAGCCTGATCTCTATCTGCCGCATATGTAGCATATGGTCAATTACCACAGACAATAACTACGTTCATATTACAAGCCTCGATGCTCAAATCCGATTTTTTACTCAAATCCGATCTCTCTGACATGATGGTTCACACATTTGTTTAGATAAGTGATTCAAATCTGTCATTAATGTGACGAACCGGCGTCCTGAAATGACCCGTATGAGCTCATCCTACTCAGTAACGTCACGTGAACGAATCACGTTCATCATCAGCACAAACTAACGAGCAGAACGAGCTTCGCTGAGAAGATCATTAACTCTGATCAGCTCTCAGCTTCATTATTAGAGCGAGACGAAGGAGAAAAAGGTGAGATGAGCTGCTTTTCCACCATTTACAGGCTTTAACTTCTGTTCGACGCTGCTGCCATGGTAACGCTGAATGATGGCGCAGCGCAGTGGAAAAAAAAATAAAAACACATGAATTCCAATCTGAGCGTCACATTAAGGTCGCATGGCCACAAATCGGATACTTATCCGATCTAGGACCACATATGAAAGTGGCTCAGGTTGGATTTGAAAAGATCAGATGTGTGTCCACACAGCCCTGAAAACATCAGATCTGAGTGACATTAGGGCAGAAAATCAGATTTGTGCCACTTTGACCTGGTAATGTGAACGCAGCCAATAACTCAAACGCAGTTCTCCCTGTACTTAGAAAAAGAACAAGAATCCCACTGACTCAAAATAATCTTGTAATAGTAACCACTGAGCAGCTACTGAACTTGTATATGAATATATATGTACTGAATATGTAATGTGAATTCAAAACTACAAGAGTTATAGTCAAATACAGGTAAAAAAAAGACATGAAAATCGTTTATCCAACTTCTGTTCACTGGAGTAAAACAGTAAAGAGCTATTTTGGTGACGTACCATCAGGCGGTCAAAACTCCACCCACACCTCTACACTGGTCTCGACTCTAAAACTAGCCCCATCTCAGAGCACAAATAAACAGACCAACAACTGAATTTACAAATACCTGATTAAAGAATTCACTTGCATAATCGTTTACTGACAGAATTCAGCAAATGCCCAATTCTATTATACACAGAGATGATGGCACGGATACAGTGCCAGTAGAAAATCTGGCCTGAAATACCACACACTTCGGTCAGGCCATAGTAGCCATAGCCCACTCCCACCTGCTAGATAGGTCTCCCCCTATCACACGATGCCATCAAGCTCAGGAGCTGAAGGCCAGCACAGGCTTCCTCCAAGACATGTAAAGCCTTTCTACACTGTTGCTAATGCAGCGTCATTGGAGAGCTGCTAAAATGTGCTGAGAGGAGAACGCTAAACAGAGGCAGTTTAAGAGGAAGCTGGCCACTTCTTATGTCTCTCATTATATCAAAAACATGACTGTAAAGCACCCATGAGGATGCCCATGAGCGAGTCTTCAACGAATGGGGGTGAATGGAGCTAAAGGGTCTTCCTTTAATTTCAGAAAGTAAAAGAATGTATTCCTTAAATAAAAAAAAAAATAAGAATACTTTCTCATATGTTTCTCTTTTACAGCAAATAGGATTCGGGCAGTAGAATGCCAGCATTACAGCTACTGAGTGCTGATTGGTTGGTGAGCAGTGTAGCTGATGGCTGAGTGAAGCAGTTCACACTTACTGACATCATAAACGTACATGAGGCAGTAGCAGAAAGTCCTATAACTGGAGTTATGGTGATTTAAAAAAAGATTCATCTGATTTCAAAGTGCCATATTTTTACAACTGTGAGGCGCCTAGGAACCAATCACAATCCAATTGAAAGAAGGGGTCAGAGTTTCTGTCAGTGGAAGATGGCTCCCTTCAGTCTGAGAGGAGATGAGACCCCTGAGCAGAAAGCGTTCTGCGTTCTCCACTTCAATAAGAGTGAATCCGTCATAACTGTGCAGTGTGATTTTCGTGGGCAGTGAAGCTCCAACAGCTCAGAGCGTTCGTCGTTGGTTCCACAACACTGGATGATCTCCGAAATCGCACTGAAAGAGCCGTGAGTGCAGCGACACCCGACATGCTCAATCCAGTATGGGATGAGTTTGACTATGGCGTTGATGTTGTCTGTACAGCTGGAGGAGGTTCATACTGAGACCATGTACAATTACATGATAAACTTTATGCTCATTTAAACCATTTACAGTTTACTGCATTGATCTGTAATGATTTACAAGTGAAATCAATCATTTTGAAATCGGATTAATCTTTCTGAATCACCCTGTGCGTACATACACACACACACACACACACACACACACACACATACATATACATATATATATATACATATATATATATATATATATATATATATATATATATATATATATATATATATATATATCTCTCCAGCTCCATACGAACCCATTCATTTTGGATTTGCTTAGGAAGACCCGCTAGCGTTCGACAAACCTGGAAGGCATTACTGAATGGCAGTTTTCCTCTCAAGAAACCACTGCTATTTCTGTTACATGAGCTAACAGATATCCACATTGGCTAGTAACTGTGCTGGGTGACGGCGGGGTGAGGCACCGAGGGATCGCCAGGGATCGAGCTATCAATTACCTGGCGATAGGGCCATCGCTTAAGATGACCGTACCACTTGGGAGCCCAGCTTAGTATTTTTTAGAAGAAAATAAACAGGACTGTTGTTAGTCCTGGCCAATACTCAAGGTTTTAATATCACTATCGGAAAAAAAAAGTGGTATCAAACCATCTCTAATTATACATAATGAGTCCACAAGTGCAGCAGGTAGAGATCAGATTGAAAACCAAGCACAGAGAAAACAGGGCACTTCTAGATCAACCTAGCTGAGGTACCGACACACGGATGCAGACACGGCACACCTTTGGATTCTCGCTAGGTGCACCTTTCCGTTTTAACCCAGGCGTCTCATATGTAGTACAGGGTGGCCACTAAACAGATGAGCTAGTGCAATCATATGAGGAGGCACTTACAACTAACAATGGGTTTCAAAGATGTTTGGAGACAGGGAACAATCATTCCACATGCACTGCAAAACCTCATCGACTGCACTGAACAACGAACCGGCATCGACAGCCCCCCCGTCTACCGAAGAATTTTTGGAATCTCCGGCATTTCACAGATATTAAGCTAAACATGTGCTGCAGTAGTTCGGACACTAAGTTACTGCACTATATAGCAGCGTATAAAAGGCTAACGGAACCTAATGTCCAGCAGTGAAGAAAGACAACCTGGTAAATACATTTCAAACAAAAAAAAAAAGGGCTTTGGGGGCAAAAATCCCCCCTTATTAACGATCCTCAACTCCGTTTAACCTAGTTTATAGAGTTTAACTTCATTTGTAAATCTTTATACTCATCCTCAGTGAGGATTTTAGTTCCTTAACCATCATATTTTTTGCTTTTTTACAAACTAAGACCATACTTACAGTGTCTTTTTCAGCAAGTTTACCTGATTCTCTGAAGAAAGTCTTGGGCGACCTCTTTCACAGTGCTTTCAATTGTGTGGGTAAGCATATCTAGTGAAGTAACTGATCTTATTATTTTAGAATTTTTAACATTTAAATTGAGTAACCCATTTGAGCCCGCTGTCTTTTACACCTCAAGACCTTTCAGCAGTCCAATTACTACATTTATATATATTTTACAGACACTAAACCCTCACCCTGAGTTTAGTGTTCGACGTTACTGCAAGCGGGCCTGCCACGCTATCAGAATACATACCGGAGTACCTCTCACAGACCAGAGAGGCGAGACTGTGGGCTTTTGAAGAGTTAATATACATAGAAATTTGGCATCATAATAGTTATCCTGCTTGGTTTGTGGGGCTTTGGGTGAGAATGTAGCTTCACATACAGAAAGTTTTGAGGGACAAATCACAAAGCTGTCTCCTGCTCCACCCTGGCGAGCTGGCAGGAGGGCTGGGCGGTCTTCTCTTCCGCCTCTTCCTCCCCACTCTTCTCTTCATCTTGAAAATGGGCGACACCGTTGCTCTCTTTCTTCGCCATCTGGTAAGGCCTGCCCAGAGCTTTGGACTGTGGAGCATCATGCATAAGGTTAGAATTCAATCATATGAACTTAAACTGTATTTATAGTGTAGATGGGTGGTTCTGAACAGTGGTTTCGAGCAAAGATGTGGACTGTCTAGAGAGAAACTGAGAACCGGTTTGAGAACCACTGATGTACATCAACTCCAAACCTTGAATCCAATTCATTTTACACTATTGCAGTCTGGAACTCACTACAGGAAGCACTACAGCTCAGCTCGCTGGGTCAGTCGGTCATTTTAAACTCTTGCTCTCTAACCACCTCCACTCTGCCTGACACTGTTTTACCTGACTTTTACTATTATTGTCTTATTTTCATTCTTTTATTATTTATTTGTTTGTTTATTATTAAATCATATTCTTATTCTTTTAGTCACTTTAATACATTTTTAGTGTATTTTTTATCGTATCCAACTTTTATTTTATTTTGATTTGATTTTAACTTTTACATTTTAGCTCCGTTTTAATTATTGTTTTATATTTTTCTGTATTTTTATTATTAAAGATTTATTTTTTATACTTACCTGATTTGACTCATTTTTTATTAAATTTACTTTTATTATTTGATATGTTCTTACACATTATCGATCCCTTTTCCTGTATCAACTCGGCAACATTGTAAATGAGGGTCACCCTCAATGTTCTCAGAGGTTAAATAAAGGTTGATTGATTGATTGATTGAATTTCCAGTCTTGGACTTTGTAATCACTGGAATTAAATTTGTGTCATAGAACATATGTACACAAATCACAGCTTTGAGGTTCAAGTACTACAGATTTTCCACTCTGTGTGTACCTACAAGTTACTGTAGTGTAGGGTTTTGTGGGTTTTTGTCTACCTGTTTTTGCAAATTTTGAAAAAGTGCAAGAAAAACCTGGATGGAAAAGCCAAAAATGTCAAAAATATGGCAAAAAAAAAGTTCTTACACTTGGAGGTGGAAGAGTTGTTTTATCAATAGAAAAAAAGCACTACTCGCTTCGTCCAGCATCTCTGAATTGTTAGTTACTCTTGTGTTTCACGTGACGTCACACTGTATAGTCACCGCTATTTTGAGGACCAAATCAGGGACTGACTGCGCTACGCGATGCCTTCAATTTGCTGTGCTTTGTGAATGATTCACCTGCAAGAAGCGACAGAAGCCGAGAGACACACAGACCTTTAAATCAGTGTTTCAGACTTCAAGCCTGCACTGTATAGTTTAGTGTTTCTCTCTGCTGTTCACACCTCGTTCAGCTCAAGAAGGGATTAATTAGCTAATAATATCAGGTATTTTAACCAGGAAACCACAGGTATGCAGTGCAGGGGTTTCAGGACTGGAGCTGAACTCTGAACTAACTGCACTAGCAAACTTACAGAATCACGTCTGTCGAAACACAACGTCGTTTTCCGCCCCACGACATTCAGTCTGATATTTAACACTTATGATTCTCCATTCAAACGTCATTTAAATCTCCAGAAACAGATATATATATATAAAATCCTGTAACATAGAGGTTCCCAATCAGGGAACTGCAGTGCAATACTGCAATACTGACAAAAATTGTATCACAATATATACTTTTCCAAATCATTTGATACCAATTATTATTAGTAGTATTTATTATTAATAATTATTAATGGTGAAAGTTAAGTCTGAAAAGTATCTTGAACCAAAAATAAAAGGCTTATTCTTGGTGTAAAATACAAAATTTTATTTATATATATATAAATGGTTTTTGCCACTGCCCTGCACAAAGCCTTGTTAATTAGCTGATTAGTTGAACCAGTGCCTGTATTCTCAAAGCCTTTCAATGTACAAGTGCTGACCTTGTTTACAAACGAGAACAGCAGTTAACTCCACTAATGTAGATGCAGCATTAGAGAAAGGAAAACTGCTAAATATGCAGGGCAGGGTTTCTCTGACTACTCTAGATCACTAAAACAAATTCTGGGGCTGCCTAGAGAATTAATATAAAAGTTGATGTTTTTTTCTTTACCTTGTCCTCCAGAGGGGTAACACAGCACAGTTTCTCTCTATAGCGTTCTGGCAGAAAGAAGAGCAACGTGCCCAGCACAGGGAAAACAGTACCTGGAGTGATCTCCTTCTCCTTCCAGGGTCCTGAGCACAAGCCAGGAACAAAAACATTTTTTTGAAGTCTTACATATACTCTGAAAAAACAAGGCTTTTTAATAAATGAAACACCAGCCAAACAGATTTAGCCATTGGAGCTGCATTTTCGCTAAATTAAAGAGCTTGTCTTGTGACTTTAATATGCAGACTCCATGCTGTGTTTAACTGCTGGGAGACAAACTAAACCCTCACATAAAACCATCAGATTTTAAGAGGATGTACATACCAGTGAGAATGCTGACCAGCAGCCCCACCACTACCACTGTTGCCGAGTTGTGAGCACTGTACCACATGTATGACAAAGAATAGAGGGCCTGCACTCCAGTAGGCCTGTAGAGACACAACACAGAGGAATTTTTAATAAATCTAAATAACTTCATAATAGTTCTACTGAAATGTTCCCAGCTCAATCAAAAATACTGCAGTTAAGTAGTTCCTGCTATCAGGGTGGGAAATACTGCAATACTGACAAAAATTGTATCACAATATATACTTTTCCAAATCATTTGATACCAATTATTATTAGTAGTATTTATTATTAATAATTATTAATGGTGAAAGTCAAGTCTGAAAAGCATCTTGAACCAAAAATAAAAGGCTTATTCTTGGTGTAAAATACAAAATTTTATTTATATATATAAATGGTTTTGCTGTTGTGAGTGAATGGTCAGACTTCCTCTCCCTCTCTGCCCAGCAAGTAAAATGCGCATAACTTAGTGTACTGAAGTACAAACAGTTTCAAACTTTGACCTCTGTTATCAGACTGCAGAACATATTAATTTATCTAAAAATATCTCCTGTATTATCTACATATTAAAAAAACTAACTCTGCTTTTGATAAACAGCGCTACTGTGTTATCACCCTTAACTAAAGAGATGTCGCGTATGTACCTGGGTTTCGGTGCAACGGAAGTCATGAGTGTTGTCAAGACCGCAGTTGTTGCGTTGCCCGTGTCAGGAAAAACAGTGACGCCAGGCACAGGTGGGCCAGCTGCTTGCATACGGGCAACGAAGTTGCCAATACCAATCCAGAAAGCCATGACGAGTCCTGCCACTAAGCCAACCACGGCACCCTGAAAACATACACACACACTGTTCTGTGGTACTCTTCACTTTCTAGCCATGATTCCCATGTTACATAATGACTTGTGCTACCATATATTACAGTACATTAAGGACACAAGTTTTCATTGTCAATGTCACACAGTGCAGGAGAGCTCACTTACAATGGAGTTGGCCCAGGGGAAGAACATGCCCAGACAGAAGAGACCAAGAAGAGGACCACCAACCATTCCAAAAATACTGAGTGCTGCCTGAGGGGTTCAGTGAAAGTAAGACAAGGGAGGGCGGGAGAGAGAGAGAGAGAGAGAGAGAGAGAGAGAGAGAGAGAGAGAGAGAGAGAGAGAGAGGCGAGAGAGAGAGAGAGAGAGAGAGAGAGAGAGAGAGAGAGAGAGAGAGTGCGAGAGAGAGAGAGAGAGAGAGAGAGAGAGAGAGAGAGAGAGAGAGAGAGAATGAGTGCATGTGCCCTTATGAGAGACAGAGAAGACTGTGCTCATTTTCCACTTTCTGAAACTAAAATGAGCTGAAATCAATACATAAAAACATGCACGCACGCACGCACACACACACACACACACACACACACACACACACACACACACACACACACACATCAACAGCGGCTGCTTTTAGTAACACTTTACATCACAAACCTCCTACATATTAACTCAACGGTGCATGACATGGTCAGCAATTTTAACTGTAAGCTACCATTTATTTCAGTGTTTCACCAGAAAACAAAAATGCCATGAAAACACATTTCCTTCCTGCTGCTGTTAGACCGTACAACCTGCACTGCTCCCAGTAGAACCTCCTCCACCCCACTTTAGACCTAATAAACTGTAAATCCATCCATACTCTACGTGGAATGCTTGTAAAATACCTACATATTGTAAAGATTTTTTGTTTTTCTATTTATAATGTTTATATTGTTAACTCCTCACCATCCCATGTGTAATGTAAATCAGTACTTGTGTCCTATATATATATATATATATATAAAAATAAGTAACAAACTAAACCTAATTCTCTTCTTGTTACTCGTTTTCCTGCCCCTTTGCCGCTGTAGCACTGTAAATTTCCCTGGTGTGGGACTAATAACGGATTATCTTATCAATAGGCAATTTCTCCAAACATGTTGAGGCACATCTGAGTCGTTAAATGTATTGTTTATTTATGTGACCATTTTTGCCCAGTTTCTTCAAGGATGTAAATAATTCTGGAGTTGACCATACATTGTATCGTCTTGCAAACCACACAAAGATATTCTACTTCTAAGCTTTATTAAAAATTACAAAACTCAGTGACTAACTGTAGTAATTAAACAGATTTTAGTCCATACCTGCAGCACAGAGCCCATCAGAGAGGCGATGTAGGCCATAGCCAGACACACCAGCCCATAGCCGAGAGCTACAGCAAATAGAGAAAAGGGGACCCAAAAAAATGAAAAGAATAACCATAAATAATTAAATTAAACAAACAAACAAACAAACAAACGGATCCACCACTATACTGACCCCCAAAATCTAAACAAAATCAGAACGCATAGAAAATTTAACTGGTCCCTGAGCACAGCCCCCAGATCAGGGGTGTCAAACTCAATCTCTAAAAGGGCCATATTAAAATCTCTCAACAAATCAATGGGCCAGCTGTGTTATTTTATTTTAACATTTTGCCATGACCCCAACTGGCCATTGTTTACAAAAAATATGCAAAAAATACAATAGCAGAAAATAGGCACCGAATACTTGAATGATTCAAAAATAGTTTTAAATAAATTGTTTTATATAAAACAATATACTACATTTTTGTTTTTGTGGTGCTGCCCCATAGATTGTTGTTGGGGAGAGGGCGGAAGCACACATCATATTGCAGTGCACGCTGGGAGCTGTAGTGCAGCTCATAGTGAAATGGGCTAATATTAATAGAAAACTGAAATGATTCTGTGGGCCAAATAGGACTGTACCACGGGTCTGATTTGGCCTGCAGGGCCTTGTTTTTCACGCATGGGCTCTAGATAAAACAGGAATGGGATCCAATGCTCACCGAGGCCTTTGGACAGCAGGGTTGCTCGAGCCTCAGCCATGCCAGGAAAATGGGGTTTGATCAGGTCCTCCATGGTAACCGTTGCCAGGGAGTTGAAGGCAGATGAGATTGTGCTTCAGTTAGAATGAAGAGAAAACAGATATCAGTGCAGCATGGAACTAAGGCTTTGTTCACACAGCAGGTAAAAGTGGCCCAAATCCGATCTTTTTCTTCATATGTGACACAGATGTGTGTCTGTGTGTCAGTGTGAACAGATAAACACACTGAATCTGATATTTTCAATTCCGATTTGAGACGCTTTCATATGTGGTACTGAAATCCGATACGTATCCGATCTGCGGCAATGCAACTCAGTCTGAACAGCCAGATCAGAATTCATGCGACTTTACGTCAATCCAACTCAACATTCGTCATAATTTTGCGCTGCTGAGACTCAAACATTTAGGCTGATGTTTCTGTACCGAAAAATTCAAAAGTCATACAAAACCCACCGTGCTCAAAAAGATTTAGAAAGAAATGTCCGAACGCGGCCGCAGGAGAACGAGGCTGCAGCGTCAAAGAACAGTTAAAAGTCTGAAAGCAAAGTTTAAAGAATCCGACGACGTGAACCAAAGAAGTGACCGCGCCCTTTTAACGGCGAGCTGAACACATTCTGGGTGATGAGCCCAGCTGTCAGTCAGTGAAGCTTCATGATGGCTCCTGTGATGCTGGCAAAGATTAAGCTGATCCTCCGGGAGCGACTGGCGTTCGTTGGAAGTCATGATTGTTTACCTCTGGATGAGCCGCGTGACGCTCTGTTCTTTTGTGCATGTGGGTCAGTTTCCAGCTGATCTGTTCAGACTGATGTCACATACAGATTACATTCAAAAGATATTGTGAACAACCAAACCAAAAATCTGCTTTGGTGAGAAAAATCAGATTTTGGCCACTTTTACTTTCTGGTCCTTTACTGGGGCCTTTAGTGGTTACCTGAGTGCTCCACTGAAAAGGCAGGCAACAAACAGTCCAGGCAAACCAGGGAGGTCTCTAAGCACGTCCATCACAAAGAACAAAACCATCTACAGTGACAAGGTTGGAGAAATTACATTAGTTTCGAGCTCCTCGTGACATTACGGACAGCGAGGAATGTGTAAGAATACTCAACTCACTGTGAGACTCATACCTGGTCATTGGTCTTGACGTAGCCCTTGTCCAGAGGGCTGTCCTCCCCGTAACGGGCATACATGACCAAACCCATCAGGCAGCCCAGTGCCAGGACTATCTGTTGGCATGGAAACACCACGTAGCAGGACCTACCATGAAGAAACATGAAACAAGTGTTCATACAGGACTTCCTGGAGGGTTCATCACCAATGTGTTTTCCATCATCTACTGCATTATTGTTTACACAAAGGGCTAATAGGATCCAGACAGACCAAGAGGCTGTTGCTCTAGCAGTGTGGCATAAAATGCCTAAAGTGGAAATTAGACTCACTGGCCCTTGTTTATCAAAGCTGCACAAACAAAACAGTGCAGATTTGACCACGTTAACGACATACAGATTAGTCCGTGCCTGATTCATGAAATTTTCAGCTTTGGTGCGTGAAATCAAGCGCCAGCCAACCAGTACCTCACTTATGTGAAGGATGCCCTAATCTATGCGGGCGTTTCTGTAGGAAGGCAATACAACAGCATTCAGCGGCTCATGAGCCAATAGCTGTGCTCCTAAGCGTGAGTTCGAGCAGGGTGCGCACTGCTCCCCCTACTGACCAAACTTGATAGTGCTAAACATACGACAACTGGAAAGAATAAAATGTGAAATAAACAAAATGTCTTAGTTTTTTTTTTTTAAGATGGTAGAATGATGTAATTGCATAATGTGATTATTATCTAAAATAACACATTTAAACTCAGTAGTTCAAACAAAAGTATTTAATAAAGTAAGTAGTATAAAACAAAAGCACAGTATAGTAAGTCCTTAAATGGAACACGGAGTAGTTGCAGCATTTGTTTATACCAATGTGCATGTAAAATAAGGGCATCCACTTTTGTACTGGACTACCATGTGCACAAATGATTAGTATTACTTTTATTTTCTATTTTTACTCTTTCTAATGATATTATGGACAGTATAATAGTTTTTGGTCAGTTAACTGCAAATCAAGCATTTTTCTCAGACTGTTAAAACTTTTGCGCTCAAATTTACGCACACTCCAAGCAGACACAAGTTTGATCGTACAGATATGCCAAAGGTGAAAGGGGTGAATAACAAAAATTTCAGATCAGATCTCATCACAAACTTTGATGAATCAGGGCCATTGACTTCATTTCATTGCACTTGAAAGCTCACAGTATTCTGAGTACATATGGCAATAAACTTCAATGATAAATGACCTAAATAATATATACAGTACCAGTCAAAAACTGGGACACCTCATTACAGTCATGGGGTCTTCCTTATTTTCACAATTTTCCACATTTTGGAATAAGAGTTACACATGAGTGTTATTTTACTGGATAACTCTAAAATAACACACATAGAATTATAATCCAAGCTTTAATAATCCAGTTCACCAAAAGTAATTTTTAGATGTTTGAAATAATATTTGAGTAATCCTAAAAAACAATACATGTATAAATAATATACTGCAATTAACTGTTTACATAATTTTTCCCCCCAAAAGACTTGATCTTCACATTAGAACTACGATGAATTCTCTGGATATTAATTTTATAATATGCAGCTTCCTCTGTTATTTTAGAGAATCTAAAATCTATTCATTTTAATTTATAGCTTCTAGTGTTTTACTAATTATTTGAAAGCTCTGAAGTTGCACAGGAGTAGCATCATTTTAAAAATTAGAATCATTTTATACACTTCTGCAATCACGTTGTCTTTACATCACTGAAAATACTGATTCCAAACATGTGAACAGTGATTCTTTGACCGCTAATGTTTGTCATAGAAATTGAATTCAAGTGTCTAAAGTCAACGTGAATTGAAAATCATGATTTTCCTTCCGTACCGTGACATTTCAGTCATGGTTGGGTTTACTGAGAGTTTACTGAGCGCTTGATGACAGGGCTGGTGGGAAGTGTCTAGGTCTCTTAAATGATATTATGAATCGCGCTTAAAATAAACAACCAGGGACATGAACTAACAAGAACGGTCAATTTTGATTTCTGATTGACCTTATAGGCCATTGGATCAATATGTCCTGGAGAAACATATGTTTATCAGAATATATAATCTATATACATGTGTGTGTATACATATTTCACCCATTCATTTTATGTAACCAAACAACTCAGCTCTGGTGGTGATTACTGACATGATGGCTTCTTTCTCAGTGCGGGAGCTGAGGTATCTCTGGACCTGAGCCTGGTTCACTCCATACAGCGCCAGCATGAGGAAGATTCCCCCTACAGCCAGAGTCCAGAACGTGTGCCTCTCCAGCGGGTCAGGGTTCAGTCTGCATGGTTAAACACAAAGAAGAGCGTCACTGAATGTACTACAGAATACAGAACGGGGATGAGACACTGCTAAAGCACAGCATAGCAGAGGTCATTAACTGCGGACCTGAGGAGCTGGAGGTCTGGGTAGCTTGAAAACCTCCCTCCAAAACCAGGGTTCAAATCCTAGTTCTTTGCACTGCACAGTTTTGTAGTGTCTCTAGTCTACACACCTGGTCCAGTCAATGAGGTACTTAGATAATTAGCTAACCAGTCAAATCATGTGTGCTCAGATGAGACAAAGCAAAATAGGTGCATTGTGTTGGGTTTGCCAGGATTGGGGTTGGGGAACCCCTGTTAAAGCAGGTCTGGCAGAGCTGGGAAATCAGTGAACTGTGCTGGACCGCTGGCTCTCTATGGCCAGAAATGATGGGCCAAAAGGCTGGGAAAACCCAACAGAGACAGAGAACCAAACACACAGGTGTGGGTGAGGAGAAATGATTCATTTGCAACATTCTTAAATGAAAATAAGCATCCTATTGAACAGCGATACACCGAAAGGAATATTCTTAGTCAAACTGGAAACCAAAATTCAAGACATGCCAGTCTGAAAACCAAAATCTTAACTTTCTTTTTTTAATTTGCAAATTTATTTATGCTTTGAACAAAAGTTCAAAATATAAAAACAAAGTAAATACACTTTTATTGCTGATAAAATCTGCTTTCAATAGGATGAAACTGAACTGACCAGGTAAAAACAGTTCACAAAACATAAACTTACTATAATTATTACTGTTTGTGGGCTACAGTATGTGCCATGCTTCACGACAGAGAACTGTTGGTAATTCAAGTCAAATTCTGTTAATTTCTGCTTATACTTTTCATTTTTGCACTGCCGTTCTGAAGATGTCATTTCTAAAACAGATGCTAGGGCACGCATCGAGTGGTATCAGATCTGTAGTGGAGAACTTCTTAAACGTCGTTTCCCTTGAGCAGTGCAGTGGGTAACACTTCTGCCTTCTAAGCTGTAGACTGGGAGTTCAATCCCCGCCCGGGTAAGCACCCTACACTATACCAATAAGAGTCCTTGGGCAAGACTCCCAACACCACCTTCACCTACCTGTGTAAAAATGTACAAAACTTTGGGCCTTTTATCTTTTACAAAATGTTTCAGTGCCTGAAATTTTGGTGTATCCCTACTACTAACTAAATACACCAAAGCCTTTTCTCCAGGGCCCTCCAAATTTGCCTCTCACTCTCTTTGAGGTTGGAGAGTCCTTATTCACTTCCAAATTAGCCGAAAGTGGCCCCCGTCAGTGACTGAGGAAGAGCGACAGTCTCTAACCATGGGGTGGTGTTTCATGTTTTGTTAAATGGAGCAGCGACGGAACATTAAGCCAAGCAACGCTTAGCAGTAAAAATAAAGGGTTAAGACTTCCCAACTTTTATTCTTTTTAGTTATTTCTTTTTACTTTTTAAAGTAAGCTCACATCACGACCTAAAAATAATAGCACCAAAAGGGTTCTGTGGAGCGAAGCCATAGCGCAGGGGCCGGCAATCCAAATGTTAGAAAGAATCAAACCACCCTGGGCGCCACAACATTTCATGTCCATTTTAATATCTTGGCTGTAAACATGTATGTTTGATGTATGTGCTGATGTCCTAGTATCAGCTAAAACATATATAATATAAAAACAGACTTTTAGCTCAGCTATAGCCGTTTTTCTCATCTCTGGCAGGAAATTTTCCAGAAATTAGAACAGTTTCTTGTAAAATGTCCTAACATTCAACTTTTTATGAGGCTGAAGTCGCTTCTCATTCACCAGCTTCTTGTTCGAATTCTCCCGTTCCACCTTAAATGGTGCCTGAGGAGCCAGAATGTAACTGCTGCACCATTTAAGGTGGAACAGGAAAATTGAAAAAGAAGCTCGCAACTTTTTAGTGTCTGACAGTTTCTCGCTTCAGATTAAACGTATCAGGAAACCAGCTGGAGTGATTATAAACACAAATAAGTCCATTTATCTCCAAATTATCAATGTTCGTCTTAGCTAGGCAAGACTGTTGTCTGTTGCTCTGGCGACCAGTAGTATGCGCCGATTTTCAGGGTTAAGGGATGAATAAGCAGTTCTACATTAACTCCAGAGTTTAAGACCATTTACTGTTAAACTGTGTTGAACGATCAGCAGAGCTTTATTTTACTGTAAAGGAGGATTATTTTATTTTTACCTACAGTAACCCTATGCTGACCCCCGCCATAGAAGAACCACTCAGTTCCCTACAGAAACCTTCAATGGGTGAGACTAATTTAAAAGTTTGAAGAACCTCCACACAACGTAAATGTTTTGAAAAACATCCCCGTGAGTTTAAAATACTTCACAGGACAGCACAGTGGATAACACCAACATGTAAGACTGAATGTCTGATTCGCCGCCCAGGCAGAACGGCACTTGGTCACCGCACCAATGTGTACACGGCTACACACTGGCAACGTGTACCACCGTCATGTACCATCACCGTTCACACCAGTTCTGCAATTAAAAGGCAACATCCGAATGCAGCATTAAAAACATGCCACAGAAGGCAGAAAAAGGCCCCAAGGAATGTCTGCTTTGATGGAGTTTCTACTCACTCCAGGCCGGAGATCCGGCTGCCGTTCTGTGCCTTCCTCCACACCTCGCTTATACCCCCTGCCTGGTGGGCCCCCACCACAATCACCGCCAGCTGCCCAGCGAACATCACGATCGTCTGGAACACGTCCGTCCAGATCACAGCTTTCAGGCCACCCTGGAATAAGACATAACCATGCGGTCATGGGACAGGAGGTCATCTGAGCCCGACAAGCCAGAAAGTGAGCGAATGTTGATGAAAACATCAATAACAAACATAACTCAGATGCTGTCATCATAAACACGAAACACATGCTCGAGTTCCGATAACTGCATTATGTGTTGAGAAACAGACAGAAGGACAAGTCTTACCAGCGTTGTGTAAAGAGTGCACACGAGTCCCATTGCCAGGACCGCCCCCCAGAGGTCAAACCCAGTTACTGCAATACACATGAAATAAGAAACCTTAGCAGAACATTCACTGGTAGAAGACCACAGCCTTCATTCGTGCACTTTATTGCTCGCGGTACATATTGGCTTAAAATAGCCGCTGTTCTTATTCTAGGGTTTCAGTCACGTGATTTTGTGTTGTGGCCGCCATATTTCGGACCGAATTTCTGGCTTTGCTGCTCTGCATGAACGTAACCAGAGGTGAAAAATGGCTAAAATGACTCTCCTTACTTTGGAAGAGAAAAAACGTTAGTCGATAAAATAGGCTGTGATCCTTTTACAGTTTCCCCCTGAACTCCTGGTCCCACTTAAACTGGCAGAAAAGCTACCAAATCTGTGTTTTCCTGACATTTATATTCATCTCATACAGAACAACTTTAACTTTTTAGATAACTTTAGCTGATGTTAACAGCCGAGAGACAGTCGTCCCCCTAACGGAGCTGCAGACAGCCGGTATAACTTTACTCTCTGTTTCTGATTTAAATGACGTTTGAATGGAGAAACATAATCGTTAAATATCAGACTGAATGTCGTGGGTCAGAAAACGACGTTGTGTTTCGACAGACGTGATTCTGTAAGTTCGCTAGTGCAGTTAGTTCAGAGTTCAGCTCCAGTCCTGAAACCCCTGCACTGCATACCTGTGGTTTCCCTGGTTATAATACCTGATATTATTAGCTAATTAATCCCTTCTTGAGCTGAACGAGGTGCGAACAGCAGAGAGGAACACTAAACTATACAGTGCAGCGGCTCCAAGCCTGGAGTGAAAACAATGAATTACAGATCTTGTCATCCTCGGTTTCTGTCGCGTCTTGACTCTGTCCTCAGAATAGTGCTGACTATACAGTGTGACGTCACGTGAAACGCGAGAATACACAGGCATGCACATCTACTGTGCTGAGAGAATTAATGATTCACTCAAGCTAAAACTGCTAGTAAGAGGTGAGCAACTAGCATCATTCAAATGAGATCATGGCCCCCACCCGCCTTCACTTATTACCTATTAGCTATACTGCATTCCAGGGTGAATGAATCATTTAATGGAAAACCCCAACCAAAAAAGAAAATCTTTCATAAACATGCTTATTCGCATCCTACAGCAGTGCATTAGCAGGCTCTGTAATGAGATGTTTTCATTTTAAAGTACAAGAAACCCCTCTTCTGATGATGTATCTAGAGAGAGGAACAACACTGGGGAGTGTTTTTGGGGTGAGGCCATTTGAAATGCCCTTTTTCCTTTTCATCAGCTGGCGAACGCAGAGTAAAAGCACATAGCTAAAGTCACTGCTAGGAAGCTGAATACCTTACTTTAACCATTTATCTGTAGATAAATAGAGAGAATTAATTGCTCAAACAACAGAAATGACTTGTCAGATGAGGAAAACAAGCTTAAAGCTAAAGCAAAGGTAGCTACCTATTTAGATACACTATATGGACAAAAGTATTGGGACACCTACAGGAGCTTTTATGACCACCGTTCTAAATCCTTAGGCATTAATATGGAGTTGGTCCCTCTTTGCAGCTCTAACAGCTTCCACTCTTCTGGGAAGCTACAAGATGTTGGAGTGTGTCTGTGGGAATTTTTGCCCATTCATCCAGAAGAGCATTTGTGGGGTCAGACACTGATGTTGGACGAGAGGGTCTGGCTCACAATCTCCATTCTAGTTCATCCCAAAGGTGTTTGATGGGGTTGAGGTCAGGGCTCTGTGAGGGCCAGTCAGGTTCTTCCACACCAAACTCACCCAGTCAGGCCTTTATGGAGCTGCTTTGTGTACTGGGGCTCAGTCATGCTGGAACAGGAAAGGTTCTTCCCCAAACTGTTCACACAAAGCTGGAAACGTACGATTGTCCAAAATGTCTTGGTGCTGAAGCATTAAGATTTCCCTTCACTGGAACTAAGGGTTCTAGACCAACCCCTGAAAAACAGCCCCATATCATCATCCCTCCTCCACCAAACTTTACAGCTGGCACAGTGCAGTCAGGCAGGTAACGTTCTCCTGGCATTCGCCAAACCCAGACTCGTCCATCAGACTGACAGACAGAGAAGCTGATTCGTCACTCCACAGAATACGTTTCCACTGCTCCAGAGTCCAGCGGCGGCGCTTTACTCCACTCCATTCGACACTTGGCGCTGTGCTTGGTGATGTAAGCATGGTTATGTGCTTGATTTTATACACCTGTGAGAATAGGACTGAATGAAAAACCTGAATTTAATGATTAACAAGTGTGTCCCAATACTTTTGTCAGTGTAGTTTACCTTAATTTGGTTCCTGTTCTCTGGCATCCATTCTGTTTTGAATAAGGATAAAGTCACTGTTTTCTTTATGAGCGTGTTCAAAAACTGAGCTACAAAAAGGAGCTACAATAATTCTATCATGCTTGTCCTTTTTAGGCTACAGATCAGTGGCTTATGGGAGTCAAATCCAGCCAAAATAAGAAATTATGGTTAAAACAATGGTCTTTTGGTCTGACGTTTGAGTCAGACCAGATCTGAGACATGATGATGGTTTTCCCGAGACTCGAAGTCTGAGGATGTCCTAAAATGTACCCTGAATCCCCACAAAGTGGGGAAATGAAAAGGAAAACACCAGCAGGTGGCGCCTGTGTTCGTTTCTGTTTAACTTTTTAATTCTGGCGCTTCAATCGCGTCCACGCCGAAAACTGAATCTCAAACGGTCACTTTGCTGTTGATTTATCCATTTTACATGTTCATACCGTCAGATATGCAGCTTATGAAAAAGACAACACTGTAAACATTGCATTTAGATTTTAATTTTGACACATCAATTTCATGAAGAAAAGGCAAAGCCAAAGAGAAGCTTGGATTTTCTTTTCTCTGTTAGCTTTTCCATTTTAGATACAGCCATGAAACACCAGAGTAATGACTAAAATGAAATGACACATAGCTGTTTTAAATTGACTTTTATTTTTCTCACAAATGACTCGCGCTTATGTTGGTAGAGACAGATACTTCCTCTGGATAGACAAAGCACTTTTTTGTAAGTAAATGTAAATGTAAATGGTGTTTCATTTTCAATTTTGGCAGGATGTTCGCCCAGGTGTTTGGAAAAAGAAATGGCAAAAGAGGTTTGCATTTACATTTCACTGTTTGAATTGTAATTTCTTTTTTGGCCGGACATGCCTGCCATAGTGGCTAGGCTATTATTCAGGATTTGGGTGACACCACAGGGATTCCTGTTGGTTTCATGATGTACTCACATAATTTATGCAAGGTGCTGCAGTGAGAGAACGATGATAAATGAAAAAATGGAAACTACATAAAACCGAACATTCTTTAAAACCGAGGAGGCTGAGAAATATAATGCAGCACTGCAAAATAGCTTCATTTACCTGCATTCAGCGCAAGGGCAGGGGCATAGAGGACCACTCCCATGTAGATCACCTACAGGGCCAGAAACACAAAATACAGAAACATTCAGCTACTCTGAAGGAAAACCATGGGTTAAAGATTAAATAAACAGCAGCCCAGTGAACTTCATGCTGTGTCATGCTGATACCTTCATAACATGTAACCTTAGAACTTCAACACTGAACCAAATATTGTGGACCACAGAGATGAAAACATATATTTTTTAAGGTCTGAACAAACCAAAACAATTCTGAGAAAAGGAAAATATTGCCCCAGAACTTGAGCTGCTGAAACGATTCATGTTTATGTAACTTTTAAAGGTTCAGATAACAAAATCTTTTACACATCCTGCCTCCAGACTCACCCAGACCAAACTAGACTCACCATCTGAAAGATGAAGGTCACAGTGCCACATATTCGCACGGTTTTATTGAAGCGAAGCTCCAGATACTGATAAGGGAAAGAATAGAGGGAAAAAAAATAGATTAGACTTCAGTTCACGGGCAATCATCTTACACTTTCACCTACATTGTAAAGGGAATGAGCGAGGACGCATTTACTTTCACTCAGAATATGCGAACGTCTTAAAATAGGTCTATGAAAGCGATTTAAAGACAGCAGCAGCGCATATAAGCTCAGAAAACTGTCTCCACAACCTGAACTGCATTATGAGTAAATGTGACACACTTGTCTTGTCAGCATCTTCACAGACATCCTTTTTCACAGAGGCTGACTGTGAGGGATGTGCTGACTTGCATTCTGTGATTCAGCAACTTATGGCAGCATTTTTAAATTACCAAGACAAGACCCAAAAATATGCCCTATTCACTACGTAGTGCGCTATTTTGCTAGTGCACTTTTTGTCCCCTTGGAAATATAAGGTTCAGTCTGCGTTCTGAGCAGTTTTGAGATATTGAGCTTCAAAGATTTTGCTTTCTAAATAGCAAAACTGACATGTGGATCACGTTTCTTTCATATACAACCCCATTTCCAAAAAAGTTGGGACGCTGTGCAGAACGTAAATAAAAACAAAATTAAACGATGTGCAAATCATTCAAATCTATATTTAATTGAAAATAGTACAATGACAAGATATCAAATGTTGAAACTGAGAAATTTTATTGTTTTTTGAAAAATATAAGCCCACTTTCAATTTGATGCCAACAACACGTTGGGACGGGGGGCCTGTTTACCACTGAGTGTCATCAACTCTTCTGTGAAATTGTGAAATGTTTTTCCGTTCTCGTTTAACAGCTGCTCAACAGTTTCGGGGGCTCATGTGTCATATTTTTGTCGTGGTGGTGTGTTAGTGTGTGCTGCGCTGGTCTGAGCGGATCAGACACAGCAGTGCTGCTGGAGTTTTTAAACACCTCAGTGTCACTGCTGGACTGAGAATAGTCCACCAACCAAAAACATCCAGCCAACAGCGTCCTGTGGGCAGCGTCCTGTGACCACTGATGAAGGACTAGAGGACGACCAACACAAACTGTGCAGCAGCAGATGAGCTATCGTCTCTGACTTTACATCTATAAGGTGGACTGACAAGGTAGGAGTGTCTAATAGAGTGGACAGGGAGTGGACACAGTGTTTAAAAACTCCAGCAGCACTGCTGTGTCTGATCCACTCAGACCAGCACAACACACACTAACAAACCACCACCATGTCAGTGTTACTGCAGTGCTGAGTGTGATCCACCACCCAAATAGTACCTGCTCTGTGAGGGTCCATGGGGGTCCTGACCACTGAAGAACAGGGTAAAAGGGGGCTAACAAAGTATCAGAGAAACAGATGGACTACAGTCTGTAACTGTAGAACTACAAAGTGCACCTATGTAGTAAGTGGAGCCGATAAAATGGACAGTGAGCGTAGAAACGAGGAGGTGGTCAGAATGTTAAGCCTGATGTATATACATATCTAAAACGTTACCTGGTAGGCACTGGAGAGGCGCAGACGGTAGAACACAGGTATGAAGATGTGTGCAGGGATGAGCAGGCCCAGGAAATAGGAGCAGCCCAGGAACCAGTACTGTGTGCCGTACGTGTAGATTTCAGAGGGCGCGCCCAGGATGGCCACGGCAGACTGGAAGGTGGCCAGCAGGGAGAGGGACACAGGGAGGCAGCTCATGCTGCGGTCGGCCAGCAAGAACTCCTGCGTGGTCCTCTGGCGGCCCCCCGAGAACGCATAGAATAGGCCGATGCCCGTCGACGCCACCAGCAGCAGGGCGAAGATCACGTAGTCCACCGTGGTGAAGTGCATCTGGACTACTTCCCCCATGATGCTGTGCGGTGAGGACAAAATGCCTAGTGCAGTGCTAGTGAATGGTTGTCCATGGAGTCCTCACAAACCCCTCTGTGAAGCATTAAACAGCACATTATGGTCAATGATCCACCTCAGAAGAAGAAACGAGCAGCAAAGTAATAAAAAGAGTAAATCTGAGTTTAAGAGAGCTTTTAAATGATATTAAGGCTAAGTTATCATGACCATAATTAAACTAAACCACAAGTATAACAGATTAATTTACAACAACATACTCAGACAATCCATGCCAAAAGTTACTCTTAGCCTGGTATCCTGCTGACATGGATGAAGCCTTAATATAATCCTGCCCTACATGATATTTTGGGACTGCTTGTTGGTAGTACGTTCATACTTATCACAATGACCACTAACGGTCCACTTAAACAAGTACTAAGACTAATAACGAACCATGCAGACACCTGCATTGCCACCAGATGCCCAAAATGACCCTTTGCCCTATCATTCTAGCCAGGTTTTGGCAACTGAAGAAAAAGGTTATATGAAAACAGGTCCTCTAAGGTCATGTAAAAATAGCCTGAGTAATGTTCTAGGTTTCTCTTTCAGTGTAATTTCTGTCCCTATTATAGCCACAGCCTCTACTGGGCATAGAAAATGACTATATTCCTGTGTAAAAAGGTCAACTGGACTGCGATACGCAGTAAAAATTGGCTGCTCAACCTACAAATAAATACTTCATGTGCTAGTAAGCAATTTAACTGTCAAGCAAAAACTTGATTTTAGTTTAAAATGAACGAAAACAATAATTTTCATCTGTTTAAACTTCTGCCCGGTTACAATTTCCGCCATGAAATATAATCTATAGGCATAATCCGCTAAAAGCTCTTTTGTTTTGGTAATAAAACAAACGTCACCGAACTGATAAGCTTCTGAATAACATTCAAAATGAGCCTCTTATCAAAAACTACGAGTCAAATGAGCGAAAGAGAGAGAGATTAACAAAAAGACACATAAACCAAGAGTAAAGTAGTAGATACACCGAAGTACATACCGTCTCCAGTGCTTGGAGAGGTGATTTATTGCCCTGTGGCCGGAGCTGCGTGATCTGGAGGGGTCTGCCTCCCTTTCTGGGCATTTAAAAAGGGAGGAACTAGGCGTTTCTGACGGAGGACGACCAACTGCTACAGCTGGAAGAGGCAGGACAGCATTACTGAGAGCAGCCTGTGCAAAACATTTATTGCAACAATTTAGTCCCAAAAACCTACAAATCTCATCTACTATTCTTTTCAATTATGGGGTGCTGAGGAAAGTCCTACCACAGGAATTACAAGGCGAGCAAGGTATAAAGAAGTAGGGCTAATGATTAATGAAGCTTAATGCTCTTAGTTTTTCACCAGCAACAACTCTCAATGCCATTATTTTACCCAAATTAAAACCATGACACATTTCAGAGATTTTGTTTTTTTGGGGGGATTTTTTTTAAGAAAGTGACTGAGAATATGAGAAAATCTTGCCAGTTAGCATCAAGTAAATTTCATGGTAGCTATCACCCTCTAGCTTTTATTTACAACCCCATTCCCAAACAATCTGGGACGCTGTGCAAAATGCAAATGAAAACAAAATGCAAATAATTTAAACCCTATATTTAATTGAAAGTAGTACAAAGACAACATATCAAAATGTTAAAACTGGGAAATGTTATTGTTTTTTGAAAAATATAAGCCCATTTTCAATTTGATGCCAACAACAGGTTCCAAAAAAGTTGGGACGGGGGCCTGTTTACCACTGTGTTTCATCACCTCTTCTTTTAACAACACTCTGTAAGCGTTTGGGATGTTTGAAATGTTTTCCCATTCTTGCCTAACATAGGATTTCAGCTGCTCGTCAGTTCAGGGTCTCCTTTGTCATATTTTTCATTTCATAATGTGCCAAATGTTATCAGTGGTGACAGGTCTGGACTGCAGGCAGGTCAGTTTAGCATCCAGACTCTTAATACGGAGCAATGCTGCTGTAATACATGCAGAACGTGGTTTGACATTGTCTTGCTGAAATAATCAAGGCCTTCCCTGAAAAAGACGTCGTCTGGATGGCAGCATATGTTCCCAAAATATGTATATATCATTCAGCAATAATGGTGCCTTCACAGATGTGCACGTCACCCATACCATGTGCACTAATGCCCCCCTATACCATCATGAATACTGGCTTTTGAACTGTGCACTGATAACAAGCTGAGTGGTCTTTAGCCCGGAGGACCGGTTTCTGAGCCCATGCAGTGATTTCCACTACAGAATCATGTCTGTTTTTAATGCAGTGCCATCTGAGGGCCCAAAGATCACGGCCAGCAAATACTGGTTTTTGGCCTCGTCCCTTACAGACAGAGATTTCTCCAGATTCTCTGAATCTTTTAATGATACTTTGTACCGTAGATGATGAAAAGCAAAAGTTCTTTGCTATTTTATGTTGAGAAACGTTATTCTTGAATTGTTGCAATATTTGATCATGCAGTCTTTCACAGAGTGGTGAACCTCTTTGTGATACTCTTTTATACCCAATCATGTTACTGACCTGTTGCCAATTAACCACCAGGTGTTTTTTAAAATTACACAACAAAACCAGCCTTCTGTTGCTCCCGTGCCAACTTTTTTGGAACATGTTGTTGGCATCAAATTCAAAATGTGCATATATATTAAATATATATTGTTGTCTTTGTACACATTTTTAATGAAATATAGGGTTTAAATGATTTACACATCATTGTATTTTGTTTTTATTTATATTTTGCACAGCGTCACAACTTTTTTTGGAAATGGGGTTGTACTTCTACTAAAAGTTTTGTGTTTACCATTCAAGCTGCATTCAATGAAAAAAACAAAACAAGAAAGAAACAAAACAAGTGAAAACTGATAGTAGTAAGAGCGATAGAGTTTAGCTTCTAGTTCAAAATAAACCCACACAGTGGGCTGCACAGACCTACAAAACAAAATAATACCATTCATAGTCAGCAGTCTATAAGCTCCTGTTCATTACTGCTCCACAGAAAAGCAGTGAAGGGACGCTGGCTGGTCTTGTGAGACGTAACGGGTTTCATTAAATTCCACACCGTGTGACTTGCGCTCATGAGAAATCGAGTAGATCCTAATGTCTCCGATCTGAATCTGTAACAGCTTATATCTACAGCCTTTCCACTCTAGGCCTAAGATTTGCTTCACTAAAGGAATTTCCCTTTAAAACAGTTAAAAGCAAAGCTAATGCGAGCGAAACAAATGCAGTAAAGCGGTTATCAGGGTTTTAGACTTTGCCACATGAGCACCTGAGAGAAAAACCCAAACACATTCATTCCAGATGTCACTAACCATTTACAGACATAATAAATATCTGTTTTGAAATACGCGAGCAGTATAGAACTCTAGTTATCCATTACTTTCCTCTGGTTTTTGTTTAAACTGCTCCACAGCTTGGGCAATCAGATTCCAAGAAAAACAGAAATAAAAATAAGGCTGGATTTTACTGATCGGCAAAATGACTCCTTTGAAGCGAGTCAGACCAATAGGCTCAGTTCAGAAAGGGAAACCGGCTCGCCTCGGCTCCAAAATGGCTTCATCCAGTAGCGCCGTCAGGTTATTTTGTTCTCAGAATAATCATTTCATTTATATAATCTAATTTGATTATATAATTAACAAAGTATGCATCAAGAAATTCAAGTCAGATGGTAAGTAGTTTCACTGGATGGGCAGCCAGGCGAAAACACAGACAAACATCATCTGAGTTTTTATATGTAATGCTGACAGTAAAACAGTTACAAGTATGTTTTTTGTTGGTAAACAGCCTGCATGTACTAAAAAGTGCATTTGTGCCAAAATGATCGCAAAACTATTGTAAAACAGTGAGTGCGTTTACATGCACTTAGTCCGATAACTGTGGAAAATCAAACTTTATCAGTAATCTGATCAATATGTTTACACGCTCTTGAGTAATCAGGTAATGGGAAAACTCCAGGTCTACATGAGTCAGACAGTAATCACATTTCTGCTTTGCAACCAGCCAATAAACTCACAGAAGAAGACGTGACTAACAATGTAAAACTCTTTTTTTTAAACATTTGCAACTTTACCTGAAAATATGAACTTACATCACCTAGAAAATGAAGAATATTTAAATCCTTTATTCGTGTTTGGTTTCAGCGCTGCCCCAAAGTGTTTTGCTGCGTCTTGCGACATCCACCGTCTGATCTCACGCATGCACAGACTGGGAAATCCGAAAGAAATCAGAGTAAGAGTTCACATGCACTGAGAAATCTGATTACTGAGCTAAAATCCAGCCTCTTCATCGGATTTCTAGATCGGATTTCTAGGTCGGAGTATGGTGTTTACATGACCATTTGAATAATCTGAAAACTGCAGAAATCCGATTATGATCAGATTATCGAGTGCATGTATACATACTCAGGCTTCAGATTCATAATGATCTCATGCAATAACTTTGTGCGAGTTCGTTTTTAGAGACAACGACCCACATTTATCAAACCTCTCAGAGTAAAAAACGCTGCTTTGGGCTCAGTTTATGTCTTTTACACATCAGTGAATAGAACTACATGGATTGAAGTGCCCTGATCTGAGATCAGTGTTTCGTTAATCTGATACACTTCATAAAATTGGGCCATTAAAGACTTGGGACGTCTGGTTCCCATCACCACCACTGTGAAAATTTCTGACTGGCGCGAAACTGCAGCATTTCACATCAAACCACTTTGAATGACCCAAAACTCATTACAGAAATAATTAGTTAGAAATAAAGGTAATTTATTTTTTATTCATCAAGGTATAAACAATACAAATGTTCCCTCAAAGCTCCAACAGTGGTTTTAAGGTCTGATTGTGAACCTTAAATAAGTTTTTCCAGGTGAAAAGTTCGTATTTGTACCTTTTCGTAACCGAATGTTTTAAAACAGAACAGTAAAATAAAAGCCTGGAGACGAGACGGGGTGTGTGGAGTCAGTACAGCTTAGAACATATCATTTCAGTGGATTATGGTTCAGTTATGTTCCCTGACTAAAGGTACTGAGATGGAGCCTTGAGGGAACCCACCCCAGTGACAGTTTACTACCTTTATTTCTGAGAATGTACAATATAAATATACACATATTCCTCTTTATGCAACAACTCACACCAAAGCAGAACTCAAAGCCATTTCAGGTGTCAAAGTTCTTCATCCTTGTGTCATCTGGACACAGAATGCTGCCAAGATATTATTGTATTCTCTGTTATGGCCCAGAAGTAATAGAAGATACACTTTGTTCCCTCGAGTGGTACAACAAAACATTAACAGCAGGTGGGAGTGAACTTACAAAATTATAAAAGCCTCTTTAATCTCAGTGGAATTTCATTTACAGCCTTTAATACGGAGCCCACTTTAAAAAAAACACTGATAATTCTCTCTTATAATCTTGGTTATAGAGTCGCGAAGGTGATACGGCAGTGTCATATGGCACATATCACACGTCTGTAATCAGATTTATTTCTTTACATAAGATCACGTAGTGTTAGAGAGTGACGACTGAGGATTGCGCGGCTCAAATAAAAGGCCCAGCACTGCACACAGTCTAAATCAATAGCCTGCATGGTGGTCATGATAAGCATAAAAATAGCCAGATAGCAAATAGATAGAGAGCCGCAGCTCCTCAAATAATCATTTATACGCAGAGGATAAAAGCTCTAAATACAAAAGAGCTTCATTACAGGTTCACTCAAAGCACACATGCAGGTACACAGAACGCCACAACCTGTTTATCTGTGGTCACAAGGTTTCTGCTGATCAAACCAGGGAACTGAGCCACAGCATCATGTCTGTTTGATTTTCCTAAGCCCCTGTGATCAGACCCCGCGTAGAAGATAATCTGAGTCATTAAAGACAGATTATGAGTCATCGACCTCGAGCAACGGTGCCCCACCATCTCAACGCACAACGTACCCCGGGGAGCTAATCATACAGTAAACGTCCGCCGCACCAAAGACTGCAAAATCCACCGTCATCCATGATACAGGCCTGAGGGACACGACTGCACTCAGATCAATACGTTCACTTCAGGAGTTATCTGGCACCTTTCTTAGCGTACCAGTAGCGCTGCGGTACATCAGTTTGTTGCTGGGCTATTTAAAATCATGGGCGTGTATGAGTTCCGTGAGTGGGAGAGCAGCCAGTGTTCCAGAATAGCAATTAGAGAGCTCACAGCATTCACAGCACCATCTGACCTACAGCATGATGGTTTACACTGTACAAATTTCGGATGGACCATTCCACCGAATCGGTTCAAAGCCAGAATGAAAAGGCAACGGGAAAGATTTAAGACGAACATCGATAATTTGGAGACGAACAGACGTTCATAAATCACTCCAGCTGGTTTCCTGATATGTTTAATCAGCAACGAGAAACTGTTAAACACTAAAAAGCCGCTTCTCCTTCACCAGCTTCTTGTTTGAATTTTCCCGTTCCACCTTAAATGGTGCAGCAGTTACATTCTGGCGCCTGAGGCACCATTTAAGGCGGAACGGGAACATTCGAATGAGAAGCACGCGAATAAAAAGTGAATTTTTAAAATTTTTTAAATCCACTTCTTTAAGGTATGCAGGCCCTTTTCCTTTTGTTGTTCCTTTGTTTGTTGTCTTGTTTTTTTATTGTCTTGCACATTATTTCAATAATTTAAGTCTCTTATTAGTAAAAACTGTTAAAAAAAAAAAAAGCAATAAAATACACATTACTTTAAAAGAATCCTGTTGTTTTTCACCCTAATCTCTTTCTACCGCACCTGCTGCGTCTGGTCGGTTACCATGGACAGTAATGTGGACGCGTTCCCCTGCACTGAGAAACGAACAGAAAAGCTGCTCACATGACACTGAATTATACGAGTCTTACAAAAAGTGACTGGGCAGTGGCTGAACTCTGTAAATAAATGTTTTTAATAATAATAATAATAATAATAAAAGAATATTTACAGAAATTGTCATTTTAATTACAAAAAAATCAACATGCTTTAATTAAAACTAAAGAATAATAATAAATAAATACCGTGAACTGAACGAAATAACTGCGCAAATGTATGACTATAAAATGCAAAATGCAACAAAGTTGAGTTTCAGGTCAACAAGTTTTCTGTTATTTTCTACATTATCTCAACAAACATGTTGAAGCTGGTCTCAGTGGTAATGTAATGACCCCATGTTACGACGTGGCATATTGAGATTAGATTGGAAAATGCTGGAGTCTTCTATTAACACCTTAAAGGAGAATTCCACCAAATTTTTAACATTTTCTGTATAAAATCGTTAAGTTGTGGTTTGTGTGAAACGATCCACTCTAGAAAAACTCACAAGGTCAGAATTGTACACAATAACGCTGATAGGAACCAAACGTCCAAAGCATGTAATACCTCTAAAAACTCCCTCACAGTAGTTAAAGTATAAAATGGTGACAAACATGCTGCCTAATGCCAGAGACACCGTCTTACAATAGTTCTGATATAAAGTTGTGGCCAGAAATGTATTTGTTAAAACTCGTTTTTGGTGGAGAGGCACATGCCGGACTAGTAACACTTGCATTATGGAGACATTTAAAAAACACAGAGTTTCCCCTTGAAAATTCCAGGCTTATTACACCCTAAAACTTATTATTAACTACATGGAAACTTATTCAATTACAGAAGTGCATAATAAGCTTTTGGGCCCACTGGTTGGTCCTGACATCAGCTTTACAGGCAATCTTCTTTAATGTATTTACCTCAGGCATCACTGTGACTGACAGGTTCATTTTCCAGTACCATAACCAATGTTTCAAGAGCTACAATACCTAAAATACATGTCGGCCGTGGTCCATTAGTGAATCCAACATTGCCTGGGGAAGGCTTTGGGAAATGCAGTAAGCCCAGTTTCTCAGTGAGGCTTTAAATAGAAGGAGTGAGAAACAGGAGGGCAGCATTTGGCTCTGCAACCTCTTACACCTGCTGTTGGAAGTAAGAGAATAGTGGGAGCTCCTACACAGCACTCTATAAAGCTCTACAAACCACTTTTAATAAAAGCGCAAAGTCGGACTCTTATAAAGAGCTTCTCTGTTCGTGGGTTCCTCTGAAGCTTGACCTCTTCTCCTGCCATCTCTAGACCAAAAGATTTTCTATAATCAATACACTGGGGGTGGGAAATGCCTGAGTTCTAAGGGGGCAATTCAACTGTGTCTGTTTTGTTCTGTTAGAATCAATTATTCAACGCTAAAATCATTTTATCGACTCAATGAAAAAGACGCGGTGCATGTGTTTAAGGCTGCCGATCACCAAATGATGTACAGTTGGCCGCTTTACCAGGGGGGTTGTGGTGAAAGCTTGGTTGTATTATGAGCTAACTAGTAGTTAACTGGGGAGTCCAAAAAAATGACCCAATTTACCATTAAAAACAACGTCCAGTTCTGCCTGAATCGATACCTCGTTTACGGAAAGCTCAGCCCGGAGGTAGCCGTTAGGACGGTGCTTCTCAAACCAATTCAATGGCATCATTCAATGGCATTGAGGGGGCAAAATATTACCCCCCAAAATATTCTTTTTTTTCCAGATTTACTACTCTATCTCCCCCCGCAACACAGAAGGATAAGCGGTCTAGGAAATGTGTGTGTGTGTGTGTGTCAGTTCACTGGTGGAGTCAGCAAGTCTATTTATTCTCATTCACTGGAGGGGCCATGCACCACTGCATTATCAACTGCACATTATTTATGCAATTTACTTCTTATTTTTGTACGGCACAGTATTTTTATTGTTTTAGTATATTTTATTATTTACCTTTACTTTTTATTTATGTGTCTGTAAGTAGTGTATGGCAATACTTGTTTTGCTCTTTACTGTGCTTTATCTGCTGCAATAGAAGCATTTGCGTCTGGGATTAATAAACCGACCTACCTACCGAACTACCGACCGCACTACCTACTGAACTACCGACCTACCTACCTAACTACCTGCCAAACTCCCAACCATACTACCTACCAAACCACCGAAATACCGAAATCCCTACCTACCTACCAAACTACCGAAATCGCTACCTTCCTACCTACCTACCGAATGACCGACCGACCTACCTACCAAACCACCTACCAGCTAAACTACCAAACTACCAACCAAACATTTTACTCAGCACTCAAACGACTTTGTTGACACGATATTTTAGAAACATTTGTACATACAAGACCTCAGTACTGTGCTACATTTGATAAGTTAGAGTGTGTGTCCTATTTTTTTAAAGAAAAATTATAATAATAATCACAGACACCATTAAAGGTTTCAGGCTGTTGCCTCCTGGCAGTTTTGTAAACGTGTCTACTGTTTAGTAATGACGTTTTGTGGCTGACGGTTGATGTAACGAATGATCCTAATGGTTTATCAGTACCTGTGAGTGATTCTAGAGTTATGATTGGGCTTTTTAATGGGATCTAAAGATGGAAATTAAGGTTCTCTAACGGAAAACATCCAACTACCCCAATCAGGAAGCAAAAACGAGTTTAATCATAATGGCTGTATGGTAGATTTTCAGCATGGGTTATTTTCTGGTGCGTACAGAGTTAGGACCAGGGCAAAGCTCGCTCTGCTCAGTTACAGCTAATCAATATCACCCATACTGCCGCTAGGCGTGGGCGGATCAATCCAAATATCAAAGGTTGGTATTAGTATCGGATCGATACTCCTCTACGTTCAGTAAGTTGCTCTCGTTTCATTAACAAGTAGATACATCTGTGCAAACACCGCTCCTTCACATCTCGCATACACACTGTGCTCCTCCTCCTCTACTCCGCTGTTCTGTTGTCCTGCTGTCACGTGACTCAGCAGCGCTATATGGGCTGCAGTGATTGACAGCATGGCAGAAAGAAAGAGGAGCATCGCGTGAAGACATTTTATGGCTGTAAATGATGTGTGTAAAAAGGCCATTCGCTACTGTGACAACACCACCAATTTATACAAACAAAACCTCGTATCTCCAAAATGGTAACTTTACAGGAGAAGGAAAAAACCTACTTTACTTTTAATGTAAGTCAATGGAACCAGAGTTTTTTCGAAAGTCATTTTGGGCCGTTTCTTTTAGTCCATTCATCATGAAATTTACATACAACGTAAAGGGTAACAGATACTTTCAAATTATGTCAAAAACTGAAAAACGGCAAAAATGGAGACACAGGGGTTTTCTTCCGACAACAGCAATATGAAAATTTGTTTGTATAAATATGCCAAAGAATTTTTCGTTTTAAAACATTTGCCCAGTAATGATTTTGTGCACTTTGTTTATTTTACAAAAAGCCAGAGAAGTGCAATGAAAGAGAAACTTCGACTATTATGTAATTGTTCCACAGGCTGAAGGAAAGAAAAATCTAAGTTTTAAAACATTCACTGTTCCCTAATTTTGCGCACGTTTGCAATTAATGTTTGCAAATTAAATTCATTATAGTAATAAAAATTATACATTTTTTTTTGCCTAAAAACTTTTCTGTCCTGGGTTTAAAACATGATTGACTAATTAACAGTGGAAAGATCACAAAACCACTCAGCGGTCATGAAAAATAAATCAGGACACACTGCTCTCTCCTACATGAATAGACATAAGCTGCAATTATAAGTGAAAAGTATCGGTATCGGCGATACCGGCTTCTGTATTCACACGGTATCGGATCGATACCAAATGTTGCAATATCGCACACCGCTGACTGCAGCTTCACCCAGACCTGCTGTGTTTTTTTTTAACGTTGCTACGACAACTGCTGATCCTCCTACGCAGCCGTTACTGGTGGGGCAGGTCAGGCGATTTTCACCCGAATTCATTTATCCCGGGAGAGCCGGCACGGTGTTCATTAACGTCGATAAACTGTTATGAGGTGTTTAACCGGACCGCGCGTCTCAAATCTCGCGTTCGAGGCTAGCAGGGTGTTTAAACGGCGAACAAACCTCTTCGCTAACGTCTCTGTTTGGTGTATGTGGCCCGAGCGTCACCCTCGCGCGCCCTCGTGCTCGTGTTGTTGCTGTGAGGCGAGAAAGCTCTTTCGGTTTTTTTTTCGCTAAATCGATTAAACGGTCCTGGTTTCACCTCAAGTTTACAACGACGAGCGACTAAAATCGCTCGAAAGAGTCCAAACCAGAGCCGCTAAGGTGAAGCCCGCTGTCCGTGAGTCACGACGAACCGGCAACGGCTCGCTGTGGACGGGTTAACCCGCTCGAGCGTGTTTACATCCGAACTGAGCGAACCACGGAGCCTTTTCACACATAAACCGGTCCACTTGAGGAGACCAGGCGAAGTCAGTTGAGAACCGGCTCATTCCTGTTTCTAAATCACTGCGATACCATCAAGAGAACGAACAGAACGGTCCGGACCGGATTCTACACGAGGCGTTTTGGATCCTGACCCCGTTCTCCACGCGTAACGGCCAGCGTGTCAGTGACTAAGCCGAAGCCGAAGCCGAAGCCAGCCTCGTTTTCGGCAGCTTCTTACTCGAATTTTCCCGTTCCACCTTAAACCAGCGCAGCAGTGTCATTCTGCCGCCTCAGGCTGGCCCAACCGCTGCACCATTTAAGGTAGAACGGGATAATCCGAAACAGAATCTGGCGAACAAGAGCCCCGCGTGTCAGAGCCAGTAAAGCGGTCTATTAAGGTGAGGTTGGCGTTGTGTAATCACAACGGCTCAGTGCACGAGGGTTAACTGGGAGAACGTGGTCTCGGTCTTACCTTTCACGGCGAGGCTGCTGTAGTGTAGCGCGCGCTGCACCGGAGCGATCTGAGGTCACTTCGGTGGCCCCGCCCCCTGCCTGACATCACGAGCAACACGTGCTCCTTCCGTCGCCAAAGATGAACATCATCAAGGTCCAAGGTTATCACCAGCGTTTCACCCCCACGTGCTTCTCTTGCACACACTGGCCCGTGTTAGTGAAGCTCCTCACGACCCTCTGTTTAACCCCGATGAGCGTCCTATATTAAACGTGATCATAATTATAGCTACATTTCATATACATGAGGTGAAAGTACCTTCACACATGACCTTTGTGGGCACAGATGTTTAAAAACTCCAGCAGCACTGCTGTGTCTGATCCACTCAGACCAGCACAACACACACTAACACACCACCACCACGTCAGTGTCACTGCAGTGCTGAGAATGATCCACCACCCAAATAGTACCTGCTCTGTGAGGGTCCATGGGGGTCCTGACCACTGAAGAACAGGGTAAAAGGGGGCTAACAAAGTATCAGAGAAACAGATGGACTACAGTCTGTAACTGTAGAACTACAAAGTGCACCTATATAGTAAGTGGAGCTGATAAAATGGACAATGAGTGTAGAAACAAGGAGGTGGTCAGAATGTTATGCCTGATCGGTGTAAAGCGAATAAGAAAATACACAATAGAAAAATAAGATTTCGAACACATTTATAGGGGAACGTCCACATTGAACGGCCGTACGCACAGATCTATGTAATTACATTTCTACATTAGTGAATTGGCACCAGCAGCCAAATAAGAAATATTGTAAATCTATTGCTGTTAAAGCTTTTCAGTTTTATTCAAATCCCAATGGTATATATTTTTTTTTATTCTGGTATGTGAAGGTTGTATTGTATCCTATTATTATATCTGTTGGTGTATATATATGGTTATCTGCATTAAATAATAATAATAATAATAATAAAAGTTTTTCAGAATAGAAGTGGTGATTTAGGATCAGATACCTCTCTTATTTCTGATGATCTTACTGAGATCTTGCTTTATGAATATGAACCATTTTCAGTTTTATGACGCGAAGGAAACCTTTGCTTAGCTGTCAATTAACTTGGCTTCGTCTGATTCATAGAACTAGAAGAATATAAGCCTGTGATGTTGACGATGTGACGCATAAACGCAGCTGAGTAGCTCTGGCTCTTTTATGTAACCCAGACTTGGAATGTTGCACTCTTAAAGGGGAATTCCACAGACTTTCAAAATTTCTACAAGTCTCAATGTTTCGCAACCAACGACTGTAGAAAGCTTTTTTTAGGCTACAGCCTATGATTGAGACTCAAAGTCATTCAGAGTGATCTGATGTGAAATGGTGCACAGCAGGAATCCTAATCCGACCAACTTGGATTTCTTTACAGTGGTGATGACGGGAACCAGGGATTGCAATATTTACAACACAAATATATCAAAAAGATTCAAAATGACCAGTTAATCATGAGTTTTATATGTAATGTTGGTACAGCCTTACTGCAAAACTACTGTAAATCAATGTCTCAGGCATCAGCCAGCATATTCATACCCATTTTGTACAAATAATTTTTTTGTGAGGGTGCTTTTAGAGGCATTAAACTCTTCAGACTGTCTGGTTCCTTCATCCCGGCTTCACATTTCACAGTAAACCACTCTGAATGGCTGCCTTAACTATTTAACAATGCAGAACATTTAGAAAAATAAACAGAATGTCCCTTTTATTCAACTAAGTGAAAGGACAGTTTTTCCCAGCGTTCTTTAGTTAATACCATAGGACATTACAGTTTATTTGCTAAATAAATAACCAGATGAATAATTAAAGCAATTGTATTTCACGTTTCCTTAAATCAAGTGTGTTTCAATCGATATTGGGTGAACCACACAGAAATCACAGCCCTTTTTATACATGGTAAACCCATGCAGAGTTGGCAGAGGTTTTTTCTTGGCCAACTTTCGTTGCACTATTTTGCGCAAGAGAAAGATAAAGCTAGTGTTTACTTTAGGTATTGCATTTCCACCTGAAATCTGTTGTAGACCAAAGTGTTACTACCAGTATAACAGGCCGTCAGTGACATAGCCGCAATGTGAGATCTATAAAAATACTGTTTTAGACATTTAAAAGAACAGCTTTGTAAGTGAATAACCAGGCAGACCATGAAACAGCACAGTAGTTAACCACTGAAGGATATTCTCAGACGTGAAGTGCTCAGATGCCTCCTCAGCAGGATAAAATATGAAATAGACAGAATCTTACCTGCTCAAAACTACTTAAATGCCTGAAAACCTCACTACCTGGCATTTAAGGTTGCAGCAGGACTATGACACAGGATATATTACTAAAGCATTATGGATTTTTGTGTCATTTTCACCAGATCCAAAGTCCTCTGATGAAGCATTTCAGTTACTGAGGACAAGCCTGAAGGTTAAGACGCCCATAAAGCAAGCAGGAATTGAAAATGCCATCATTTTAGGGCCGGCAGAGCATTACCACAAAATAGACTCCGCATCCGAGGATACCTGTGGGTCACACACACAGCAATCACTCATTTACTGCAAAGGATTTGTTAAAATACAAACACCTTAAAATGGGGGGAGTGGTGGTGGGGGGGGGATTACATATAAGATGGTTATGGTCCCAATGTAGTGGTAAATACCATTAAATTACAGCTTATATTCTGTACTTTAACATCACGGGTTCATTTTATCTCCAATGTGCTGAAGCACAGACCAAGAAAGTAGCCATTGGCTGATTACTATAGGTGGCAATATTCAAAACTGTTAAATAAGCAGCAGTTGCTGTTAAAAATACTGGAATGTCTTGTGTAGCTGTTGAATATAAAGCCCATTATACAACAGTTAGTTCCAGCCACGCGAGCTGATTGGTTGAGAAGCGTTCTGACCGTGCTGTTATTTCACTATAACATCACAGCTGTAGGAGACGCTCAAGCCATTTGAACGTTTTTACTTCTTACTTTGCCACAAACAGAAAATGGATACTTTTAAGATCACATTTGACCGACAGCCGATTTGGTCAGACTCTGAAGATGAGACGACACTAAATTCCCAAACTGTCGTCACCACTGAGCAGCTTTTCAGTCGGCAGCTGTGACAGAAGAACAGCTAAACAACCTGGAATCAGCCAGAAATGAACCCAATACCATTCGCCAAACGTGTAGTCTGATCTTCAGAGTCTGACCAAATCAGACTGAGCCATAAAACTGCTGCAATTTTAAGTTTAGCTCAGTTTTGTCAGTTTTTGCCAGATCAGTATTAATGTTGTTTTGTTCCAGCCAGTCTGTAAAGCATCTTACAGCCCGTTTAGTTTGGCAAATGGTATTGGGTTCATTTCTGGCTGATTCCAGGTTGTTTAGCTGTTCTTCTGTCACAGCTGCCGACTGAAAAGCTGCTCAGTGGTGACGACAGTTTGGGAATTTAGTGTAAGGAGCTGGAGGACGAACTGCTGGCTGTGCAGCAAGTGGGCGGCGCTCGTTACTCTGACGTAGCAACAAGCTGCTTGTTAAGGAACTATAATTTGGTGAAGGAACTGCGAACATTAAAACATATTAAACGCCGCGTTCACGGCCCAGTTTATTAATTTATTACTTTATTTATTTAACTGTTGTATAAAAGCAATAGAACACTCGAGGAGTGTGTTATCGCCAATAACATCACAGCTGTGATGATCTACGGCGACCAAATCACAGCCGTGATGTTATTTCGCAATAACACACTCCCTCTCAGGTTCTATGGCTTAATTAAAACGCATCAAACACACTAGTGGCTAATCTCTTTAAGAAGGATAGCATCAGAATCCATACTAAACACCACCCAACTTGATGTTTATTGATACAGAGAAAAAGAAAAACAAGCTTGACTCTGCAGCCTGACAGGAAAATGAGTGTTCATTACAAAGAACAATGCAACGTTTAAACAGAGCGGGCTATGGAGCGACTGTGTTCAAATCCTAAGAGGCAGTTTCCAAACCATTCAACTGTTCAAGACAAAATCTGGTCCAATCAGTCCTTCTTGAGGACAGTAGTTTGACACTAAGCCCTTCCTTGGTGTGACAGGCTGCAGGGCTTATAATCTATTCCAATAAACAGGAAAAGGCAAAAGAAACAAAGCCAAAAAGCGGCTTTGGAAAACAGTCCAGTCTGAGTAAACTCAACGCCGAGTGATCAATTGAATTTCCTGATGACTCTGTTAATATCCTCAGCTCTAGCTCCCGGATTGCCCATGTCTTTTAAAAGGCCGACTTTGTCTCTGGCAGAATGCCGTGGCACCGACAAGCAGAACGGCCAGAGGAACCTGTTCACCATCCTGAAGTTCTTTCCAGCAGAGTAGATCTCATGGATGAGGTCTTCCAAACAGATGATGCCGTACTGCCCTGTAGTGATCAAAGAGCGACACAGTTGTCAGATGCTTAAGGCCCAGTCCCATTTCACCCCTCGCCCCTACCACTCAGCCCTTAGCACTCCGGTGTATGCATTCACATCCTGATTATTGTAGAGATAGCGGAGTAGGGTGAAGCGTTAGGGCTACACGGCCCTCCAAACAGGTTTTTCAGAGACTCACTCCAAATGTTATGAGGAAAAAAAGATAAACCGGCAAGACGGCTGTGCAAGCGGCTAAAGAAACCCACAAATCTAGTATTTTCTCAGTTAAAAAATTATGATAACCATTGTATTATTTCAGTTCATTTTGGTCTTTTTCTTCATAACAAGCATAAAAAAAAATCACTAATAGTACAACAATGTCTTGGTAGCTAGCTGGCTAAATTTCCTGTTCCTCCTTAAATCATTAAACCATTTAAGGTGGAACGGAAAAGTTCGAACAAGAAGCTGGCGAATATCTGACTTCAGCTTCACATCACCGAAAAATCAGGGGTGGGTGATAATAAATAATTGTCCCTCTTTGAGGTCATATGATGCCCTTAATGTAACTAAAGCTCAGCAGTGAGGAGCTGAACTTTACCCTCCTCTGCTATCACTGAAGACGGGCCGGGTCGTCTACAGAGCAGCGCTAGTAGCTGTTAATGAAGTGATGCTCTTTTTATTTGAGGGTCCCATTTCAGAGGGAAGATTTCAACCACTACCCTGTAACTCAGTTCCAAGGGTTTAGGGTGACACTCGAAAACAAGAGGCAGGGGTAAAAATAAAAAATAGGATTGGCCTAAGTTTTACACTCAGTGTTCAAGTGTTTTGAGGTTTTGTTGAAGAAAAAAACTGAAAATGTAACTTCACTCCCAGACAATGCAGAATTTAGACATCAGAATAAAAGATACACAAAACAATAAAACTATAAAAAACGTTTGTTATTATCACAGTTACAATGCTTACCCAGATGTTGCTCAATGACTGTGTTGTCTGTGAGAGGAATCTTTCTTTTGTTGATTTTCAGCTGGCCTCGTTTTAAGATAAGCTCTCGAACGGACTTCAGATTGGGAAATCTGAGAAAGAATCAAATTTTAGACAGAAAAGTTAATCAAGGATTCACATTTATTAATTTCTTACTGATGCTTTAAAAAAGTTAGCGGCCCGGCATCGGATAGATATTTAAATTTGACAGACATAGCAAACCAATATTCTATTATTCATTTATTGTACCCTGGAAGGAGAACATTTAGGTGATTCTAGGCTTTTATGCTAAACATGCACCTATTCTTTTTACTGCATTTGTAACCGTACAGAAAGAAATACTAAATTTCTCCATAATGTTAATCCAGGTGGGGGATCTAATCTCAGTAATGAATGCTGATGTACTGACATTGGCAGACATGTTCATGAAAAACATCAGACAACAATCCACGGTTTTCCTAAACAACAACATTTACCATTACGCTTTGCGTGTCTTTGGAACGAGAACGGGCACGACTTCCGGTATGTGTTTGTTGTGGACAATAGATAGCGTACGGATTAGCTTCAAAGCTGAAGAGATTTATAATTCGCCACTTATTAAACTGTGTAGCTAGCTAGGTTTCGCTTTTTGGATACAAGGACATGGCAGTTGTGTCGTGGTGGCATCACAGACAAGAACTGTAAATGGTGTCACCCAGTCTGTTCCTCATCTACTGAACCCATCCCAAGTCTGGGTTGACGACATGAAGCTCTGGCCAGATGTCACATATGTTGACATCAACTGCCTTGTTTTTTCTGAAGGTGTTGACGATGAGGAGCTGAGAAATCATAAAAGCACACAAGCTTCTAATATTCTACACAGGAATATTATCTGAGGGGTTCTGTGTTACTGTGAACAGTTCACATTTCTCAAAGCTGAGGTGCAGCCAGGCCAGTTGGACGGGAAACCTGACTACTCTGCATGGGTTATGGTTCAAAACAACGGTGTAGTAAAGACGGCAGGATGGTCTTGCAAAGCTGGTCCGGGCAGATCTTGTAGCCACGTCGCTGCTGTTTTGTGGAAGGTAGGTTAGAGATTTTAAATGAAACTAGAATACACAGCCAGTTAAGATGCATTATAATTGTTATAATTGGTTATGTTGCCACAGTAGCCGTAATGCTTTATTAGTTTAGCACTGCAGTAGTAAAGTATTTCGTAGGCAGACTAAAATACCATCAGGTGTTCATTCTTGAATCGCTTTGTTCATCAGAATCTCTCTTTTATGCATTTGTATTATTTTTTATCACAAAATGGAAGGACAAACATGAATATTTCAGGGGGGCTTTTTTAAATTCAGTGCCGCTAGTTGTGCTCTTTGGCTTTGTCTTCCTCGGACACCGACATTCTGATCTGTGCTCACCTTTGTGTTCATAGCATTTATTTTCCAACATCGTTTTAAGCTTTCGAGAGCTGTTGTGACACCATCACATAACGTTCCTGTGCTTTTGAGACAGTTCGATCGTAATTACTCTAGGTGAAAAGCGTTACACGGAAGTTTAGCCCATTCTAGAGGAACTGTTGTCATGGCAACTGCCGGTAACTACAAAAGAAAACCATGGATACTCATATCAGTGCATCCCAAAAATCAAAGGAGACATCTTACCCCCAGGCCACATAAGGTTCAACAGTCTTCAGCATATTCAGAGATGTCTTGCTTATTTTGACAAAAGCACCGCTGAAGATTTTCCGTAGCCTCAACATCTGAATGACCTTTTTAACTTTGGGACTGATGCCTTTGATCCTGGAAAGAGAACAACACATTTGAGAGGATCAATAAGCAGGACAGACTGAAACGTTTAAGAAATCAGTGACATTTTTTGAGGATGCTACATAAACTGAGCCTACATTCGAATGCGAACAGCAAATGCCAAGGTGTTCTTGGCTGGCGGCAGCGGAGGGGGTGGTCTCTGCTTGGCTCTCCGCAGACGGACGTCATCCCGAAGCCTTCTTTTGCTGTTCCTCTGAAACTCTTCTAGGCGTTTGAACTTCAGAGACTGTCCCCTCTGGACCTGTTGGAAAAGATGTGGCTCTATTTACATCTCTTTTTTTTTCCACCATTTCATTTAATCAGTAACGTCTGAGGCGCTGGAAGTTACCTTTCTCTTCTGAAGCAAAGCAAGCTTGGCTTCAGTCGCTTTAATGGCTTGATATGCTTTCCTCTTCTTGAGAAGGTTCTCAGGAACCAACTTAACGACCTTCTGTTTGCTGAAAAGAAGAGAATACAAACATCAAAACAACGCATGCTTGTTTTATTAGTAGAGCAGAATGGGTTCATATCATCCATATCATATTTACAGCTTTAACACTAAGAAAATACATTTTATACAGGCTTACATGATCACGCAGCTCAAATGTAAACAAGGGACACATTCACAACTGGCTACTACGTGTAAGCACATTTTTTTTTTGTGTCTGTTTCTCTCTCTTGGGCCCAATCCCATTTCACCCCTCGCCCCTACCACTCAGCCCTTAGCCCTCTGTTTTATACATTCACGTCTAGGGGGTAGGGTGTCTCGATTCTTGCTGAGATAGAGGGGTAGGGCGAAGTGTTGGGGCTACATGACCCTCCAAACGGAGGTTTTCCAGAGACTCCAAACAGAGAGTTATGAGGAAAAAAGAAAAAACGGCGAGACAGCTGAACAAGAGACCAAAGAAACACACAAATGTGAGAATTTTCTTCGATAAAAAATTACGATAACCACTGTATTATCTTAGTTTAATGTCGTTTCAGTGTATTATGGTCGTTTTCTTCATTACAAGCATAAAAAAGTCATTAATAGTGTACTAATGTCTCTGTAGCTAGCTAGCTAACTTTCCCGTTCCACCTTAAATAGTCCAGCAGTTCTGACGCCTGAAGCGCCAGAATGAACTGCTGCACCATTTAAGGTGGAACGGGAAAATTCGAACAAGAACCTGGCGAACATCTGACTTCAGCTTCATATCACTGAAGAGTTAGTGGTGGGTGATAATATATAATTGCCCTAAATGTAACTAAAGCCCAGCAGTGAGGAGCTGAACTTTACCCTCCTCTGCTGTCACTGCAGACTGGCAGGGCACTACAGAGCAGCGCTGGTAGCTGTTAATGAAGTGATGCTCTTTTTATTTGAGGGTCCCATTTCAGAGGGAAGATTCCAGCCACTACCCTGTAACTCAGTTCCAAGGGGTAGGGGTGAAAAGAAGAAATGGGACTGGGCCTTGGTCTCTTCCTTCACAGAGGTACCTGCTCTTCAAGCAGTCATGTGAGGAGAACCAATCAGAGGCCCGGCTAGTGCAGTTGGGGGAGGAGCCTATGTTTTAAAAAGATGGTTCAAGTGTGCTTTGTTTTAGGTGTTTTACCTTTTCTTTTAACTTAGGTTATAAGACTTTGTCTTTTGTGTTAGAAGAAGTACTTGACTTGTTGGTATTTTACCTGCACACTTCTAACTTTGTTTTACAAGAGATTGTAAAGAGATAAACACTGTAGGGTGGTAGATCTCCAGAACTGGGCACCCCTGGATGACACCACGTCTAGAGCTGATATCGATCAATAAAAAGCCTCAAATTATGTTTCAAAGTCTTTAGGCTTTTAACTAGTAGCCAACACCTAATTAGCTCGTGTGCATATTAAAGTCTTTCGGTTCTCAGCTAACGGCAGCATATGCCGGCCTTACACCAAACGACTTTTTCAAGCGATTTCACTGTCGCAGATAAATATCCATGTCGGGATAAAATCACGAGAGTCTAGTTAGAGTCGCGTCGCGTCATCTCGATCGTTTGGAATAAGGTGGTCAAGATGGAGGTCTTAAGTCAGTCTTTTTCTCGTTGTAACGTAAGTTTTAAGTCTTGGCTCGTGCAAATAGTGGCGTGCCAGGGACGCGCGCGAGTGCTTGCGGCCGTGAAATCTCTGTAAAAAAACAGCAATTCAATACAATAATCATAATAACTCAAAATGTAAACTGACTGTTTTAATATTTCACGTCCACTGAGCCTCTAACAGGTAAGGAAATGTGCAGAGGACTTTAAGAACACATTATTGAAGAATCATCAACTGTTTTCTGTTACACTGGTTTCTTATTTTGTTTGTTTGCTTCTTATGGTTTAGTTCATGACACCCAGTCGACAGTGCTGAATCGCTGTGTGTTGTGGTGACATGTAAATCTTATCAAATTAAAAAAGTAGCTGCACATTTTACAGGTTAATTAAAGATTCTGGGTGATGAGCCGCCACAGTATACAGCTCTATAGTGAACTGGGCTGAGCCACAGATCTTTACACGCCCAGCCAGCCTATCTACCCATCTGTACCCCTACAGAGTGGAAGGAAAAGTGTTTATGTTTTATTGAATAATCTCAAAAATCTAGTTGCAGTCTTGTAAATAGCGACACTGCAAGATTCCCAGTCTTTTCAAAATCATAGTCTGTGACTAAAATCTGTGACACTGTCTTTAGATGTGAGAGGGCGTCAGACTTCAATCTTAAAGTCTTTTCAAAGTCTTATGCCGGCCTTACACCAAACGACTTTTCAAGCGATTTCACTGTCGCAGACAGATATCCATGTCTGAATAAAATCATGAGGGTCTTGTTAGAGTCGCGTCGCGCTCACGTCATCTCGATTGTTTAGTGTAAGGTGGTCAAGACGGTGGTCTTAAATCAGTCTTTTTCTCGTTGCGACGCTGCGACAAAATCAACCGTGTTTAATATTATTGTAAGTTTTAAGTCTTGGCTCATGCAAATAGAGGGGGCGAGAGAGAGAGAGGGGCGAGAGAGAGAGCCTGAAATCTCTAAAAACGGAAAATCTGCTCCACTTTAATACAATAATCATATTAACTTAAAATGTAAACTGACTGTTTTAATATTTCGGGTTCACTGAGCCTCTAACAGGTAAGAAAACGTGCAGAGAATGCCATTTTTGAAGAATCATCAACTTTTTTTTTCTGTTTTCTGTTACAGTCGTTTCTCATTTTGTTTGTTTGCTTCTTATGGTTTAGTTCATGACACCCAGTCGACAATGCTGAATCGCTGCGTGTTGTGGTGACGTGTAAATCTTATCAAATTAAAAAAGTAGCTGCACATTTTACAGGTTAATTAAAGATTCTGGGCGATGATCTGCCAGAGTATACAGCTCTACAGTGAACTGGACTGAGCCACAGATCTTTACCCACCCAGCCAGCCTATCTTCCCATCTATACCCCTACAGAGTGGAAGGAAAAGGGTTTATGTTTTATTGAATAATCTCAAAAATCTAGTTGCAGTCTTGTAAATAGCGACACTGCAAGATTCCCAGTCTTTTCAAAATCATAGTCTGTGACTAAAATCTGTGACACTGTCTTTAGATGTGAGAGGGCGTCAGACTTCAATCTTAAAGTCTTTTCAAAGTCTTATAGTGTACGGACAGCATAACGCACTCTATAGACTTAACTACCCGACTAAAATAAGCACTATAAATGAGATGAAGGGAGAATATGGAACAGTGTATTTTACTTATACACTTAAAATCAGCTCTGCTTTTCCCCATCTAGCTGAAGCGGCGCTAAGCTCGTGTAAAGACTCCTATCAGTCCACGCGTTCAGCTTTTACTCAAATTAACCGATTTATGAGGGTCAAATCTGCAAAATACCGCGCACAGCCGATCGTTTACATCGCAGGTGAGAGATAATTAAAAAGTAAAGCTATGGTGAAGGGACTGCTGGCGAGGATTAATTCAGATTGAAACGTAAACAAACAGGATACATACTCAGTCTCTGCCATCGCTTCTTCGAGTCGTGTCGCACACTGATGACGTTTACTTTCGTTCTTTCTCTCTCACCTGCGCCGCGGTGCTGCCACCGCGCGACTGAAGGCTCCACTGCACGAGCTTTGCTGCTGCTTAAAGGGGAACCCCACTATAATTAGCCCGTTTCACCCTGGGGTTACAGCACTACAGTCCCCAGCATGCACTGCAACATGGAGTGCGTTTACACAATCCGATGACTGCAGAAAATCTGATTTTGTCAGTAAACCGATCAACGTGTTTATATGCACTTGAGTAATCCGATAATGGGGAAACTCTGGGTCTACAGGAGTCAGACCACAGATATCCATACCTAGATGCTGCGTTCTCTGTCTGAGGCAGTGCTGGGCGAATTACACATACCATGTATTTGAGTTAAAGTAGAGGGGTCAAATATTACTCCAGTAAAAGAAGAAGTTCCTCCCTTTAGACCTCCACTTGAGTAAAAGTACAAAAGTATTTGCCTTCGAATGTACTTAAGTATCAAAAGTGAAAGTACTAAAAGATTAATTATGGTTCTGATGTCCTGTTATCATTTCTGTAACAAGACTCGCTTCATCAACTCATTTTAGGTGAAAATACTCCAGTGTCTCTCTTGGTAAACCAGTCTTTTAATAGAATGTCATTAATTAGTGACGCTGATGTCTATTAAAATTATCATAAGCACAAAACACTGAAGGCAAACAGTTTCCATCAGGTAGAACTGAGTGGCTCTGAAATCACTTTTTACAAACAAGCAAAGTTTCAGTTTAAGATTTTTTGCAACTTAGTTACAATTTAAGTTTAATAAAAACTTTAAACTCAGATTCACAAATGAGTTTCCTTTACTAAACTGCATCTGTAGGTCTCTGTTCATAAACATAAACTAGACAAAACTAATTTACTATAAAATGAAATTGTGTTTGTATAAATTCAGATGCCAGTCACAACTGCATATGAGTACATATTTCTATATTGTGGTCTATTTACACAAAGTTAGGTTAGTTCATCATTTATGTTGAATAGACACTCCCAAAATTTTACGCTGCTGCACTGACGTTGAACCGTGTGCTGCACTGGGTCGGTATGACCAACAGGTCAAAACAAGCTCAAAACAAAGTGACCGCTGTGCCCTGATTGGTGTTCATGCTTTGCGCTTCTTTTGTTTTGCCTGGACTGCTCTCGGTAGCTTTTTAACACAGAGTATGTTAAATCAGAAAACAATATAACACAGAAAGTGTAAAAACAGGTTTCTTGTTATTTAACTGGGTCATTCTACAGAAATGTCCATTTTTGTGTCCCTACAGATATATTAAACTTGAAAACCATGTTAGGGTTACAGTTTATTTATATTTTAAAACAAAACAGCAAGTTATTTTAACAATTACACCTTCTTGAGCCTCAATTTAGCAATACTGGTTTTTATATCAATCATATAGAACTCCAAGCACCTCAGAAGAGCTCGTCCTCACACTCATGTGTAAAGGCTGAGGCCATATTTTGAGGTAAAAAACAGTTTTTCTTTGCAATTTTAACTACAATAATCTATACATGACTATGAAATATATGATTTAAATGACATAAAGAAAACAAATGCCAAATAAATATTATAAAATATATAATGAAAGTTGTCCCCAGGAGTCGTGTCACTGGTGTTACTGCGTAACAAAAAACCTCTTATTTTGAAATAAAAGTCACACTGATGACATCACTCGACTTCCTTTTACCTGTTTTCTGAGGATCTGTGAAGAAAAGCACATGGTGAGTCCACTGTGTCTTTCAGTTATCAGAGATTTTCTCATTTAGCTCATGATTTCATATGAAGCTTTTAGCTGAAGTCACTGGTGTGACCGACTTTATTCTGAGGTCATTGTGAAAAAATAGAATACAAACGGATTAAATTACATATTTTAGTGGATATTCCATGACTGACAACATGTGGTTTGATGCTCTGTAGCAGCCAGTTTGTAAAATGCACCAGTAATACACCAGTGACTCCTATAGAGAGATAAAACAGTGGACATTCCTGTAGAAAGACCCAACACTTCTTATCACTTTTTATGCTGGTAACTAAAAAGGGAGCACCAGAGGTAGCAAACTTGGGCTCCCTGAGATCTCAGCAGCTCTCCACTCCACTGTCAACAAACCTGAGTGAGTGAGTTAGAGCAGTGGGACGACAGCACCAACACTCCCAGTATACCATAATACTCTACGACCATGAACCCCCAGATCTGCAGCTTTTATCTAACAGGAAAAACTAATTACCAAAGGCTCCACTAAACAAGTGGGTTTTTAGGCTAGACTTAAAGTCTGAGTCCTAAACGCTGACACTTTATTGAACATGTGCCTTTTGAGTTTTTATGTTTAATGTAGATAACGACAAACTAGTGTTAAATCTGAAAAGGAGATGCTATATATTTGTGCTATAACTCTCTGTGAGGTCGCTTTTAGAGGCATTGTACTCCTCAAATGTCTGATTTCTATTACCATCAATTTCACATCAAACAATTCTGAATAACTTCACATTTTAATAGTTTTATCATGGAAAATTTTCCAAAAATTCCAAAAAGTAGATGTAAATGAAGCTGCAAATATATGACTGTTTATAGACTGTTCAACATATTTTCTTGACTATTCCTTTCAGGAAAAAAGTCAGATTTTTAAATTTTCTTAGTCTAAAGGATTTAAAGGTTGATTCCACAGATTTAAACAGAATTCTGCCTAATTAAATTAAGATATAAACACATTATTTAAAACCAGTTCGCTTTGCCAATAAGTATGTTTTTGCTTGTAAAAATACAGTATATTATACAAAAATTGCAAATAAACAAACACAATATAGATTTGTTTTCAAAAGTAATATCTTGTGAGCTATTTTGAAGAACAAATTTTGGCCCCGGACTCCTCCTGTACGCCTGCAGCCGTCACATATATTTATTAAATTCCAGCAGCAGCACACTTTATATACCATAATGAAATACTGATTAGCCAAAACAGGTATTGGATGACAATCGCAAGTAAAACTGGGAATGATTAAACAAACACATTGACATACATAAAATCACGACCAACTGTATTAATGTTGTTTGTCTTTCTTCTAATGTGTATTTTCCTGTGTACATAAATGCTTACTGACCAGATAAACAGCTTTTTAAATGTAATTTTCTCAGGCGCCCAAAACATTTTACAAGGTGTGGACAGAAGAAAGTGTTAATAGGAAAGATATTGAACAGGAGACTGAGGAGTATTTCTGTTTTATACAAGCAAAAATACTCCTTCGTATGTACTCATGCCTGTAAAGTGCACTACTCTACTCCAAGTCCCCACCAATTAAGAGATACATCACTATACACTTCTGGAAAACTGTATTGCATTCAGAAATTATTAAAAACCCATTTAAAATCCCAGTTAAAACCATGCACAAACCATTACGAACATTAAAATGATTGACATGAAAAACATTTTGAAGCATTTGTTGAGGTTCTATAAACTCTAAGAACTTAAGAATGTGTTAAAGAAGGATGTTGAATGTTTGAATGCACAGATTGCGGGAGCGGCTGACACTAAAGAAATAAGTAAATACTGTCGAAAAGAGTCAAAACAGACAGTTCCCAAAGTTACGGCCCTAATCCAAAGGACAAAGATCAGTTTGTCCATTTCTCATAAATGGCAGCTTGAGGAAAGGGAACTGGCAGAAACTGGTTCACTGACACCGAGGCAAACACTTAGAGCATTAGAATAGCTGCTAAACAAATTACTGGATCTTTTTATTTAAACCCTGTTAAAACTGTGCTGCGTTTGCAACACACAGTCAGACTTAAATCCAAGTAAACCTGGAGGGCATTACATAAAGAGACTAAAGAAGGAACATCTGTCTCCTCAGATTCTCACAAACTTCTACTGCTGCACCATCGAAAGAGTACTGGTGGTACAGCAGCTCCACTGTGGCCAACAGGAAGCTCCTTCAAAATGCGGTGAGGACTGCTGAGCGCATCACCAGCGCACGGCTCCCTGATATCAGAGACATCCATCACCAGTGCTGTGCGCATCATCAAGGACTCCTCCCACCCCAGCCACACACTGTTTAACCTCCTCCCATCCGGGAGGAGATACAGAAGCATTCAGACCAGAACCAGTCAGCTCCGGTCCAGCTTCTTTTCATCCACCGTCACCCTGCTGAACTCCACACCACTCCACTAATACTCAGACTTATATGTTGTACACAATATTTATTTATTATTTAATATCCCTTGCATTTCCATACAACAGACTGTTCACTGTATATTGAATACAACACACAACTGCTTACTCTAGCAGTACATAACATACCATTTGTATTGTATTTATAGTATTTTATGTATTATATTTATAGTATTATGTATCATATTCATAGATATATTTGTAATTCTGTATTTATTGTTCATATAGCTATATATATTTCATATAGTTATATATGTAGACATATTTGTAATCGTGTATTTATTGTTCATATAGTTATATATAGTTCATATAGTTATATATATGTAGACATATTTGTAATTGTGTATTTATTGTTCATATAGTTATATATTTCATACGTTATATTTATGCCTGTTATTTCACATTTGCACTGTCTGCACTATTGCTACTATTTGCACCTGTCTGTCTGTCTATCTATCTATCTATCTATCTATCTATAACTTAAGCCTGAACAGAGACTCACTTTTGGTTTGAGTTATCCAGTTTTCCCCAGAGCAAGTGTTTCATATCATTCCTCTAAATCCTGAAGCTGCTCTACTAACAGGCCTTACCACAGATAATCCCATGTACTGAATGACATTTGCATCATTCTGTTCACTCCTTGTATAACTCACTTTAACCAGGTATAGATATATATCACTGCTGTCGGAACAAAACCTCGTACCTACATTTTTTACATTTTTCAGTTTTTAACAAAAGTGTGAAAATGCCTGTTACATTATATTCAAATTTCATGATAAATGGACCAAAAATTACTAAATGTCTGGTTCCATTGACTTACATTGAAATTAAAGTGTGTTTCTTCCTTCTCCTATAAAGCTCACATTTTGGAG